GCGGGGCGGCGCTGAGGGGACGGGGAGCGGCCGGGCCGCCCTCAGAGGGGTCCCCGCGTCCTCGGCGGGCTGGGAGCGGCTCCGGAGGGGAACGGGAGGGTTGGGGCCTCCGGGGAGGGAAGGGCGGGAGGATCCCCCCGGGTAGAGACAGCGGGGCCCGGCTGTGCTGGGGTGGAGCAGGGCCAAGGACGAGAATCCTTCAGTTCCCAGGAAAGATGGGACGGGATTTTTTTCCTAGGAGTGCCAGGATAAGGGGGATGTATTTAGGCTAGACGAGAGCACTGTGAGGTGGGATATTGGGAAGGAATTCCTAGCTGGGATGGAATTCCCAGAGGAGCTGTGGCTGCTCCATCCCTGGAACGTCCCAAGCCCAGGCTGGAGCAGCCTGGGACAGGGGAAGGCGTTGGGGTTGGAACTGGGTGGGTTTGAGGTCTTTTCCAAGCCACATCCCAGGAATTTTTAAGGAAAATGGGATAATTCAGGAGCAGCAGAATGGGAATGGAGCTAGGCTGGGAATGCTGGAGAAAGAAATGATCCAGGAATCTTCAGAGCCTTTTCCAGGGCCTAAAGGAGCTCCAGGACAGCTGGAGAGGGACTGGGACAAGGGACAGGACACAGGGAATGGCTCCAGACTGGGAAAGGGGAGAGTGGGGTGGGATATTGGGAAGGAATTCCTGGCTGGGCTGGAATTCCCAGTGCTCCATCCCTGGGATGTCCAGGGTGGGCTTGGAGCAGCCTGGGATGGTGGGAATGATCCCAGCCCATGGAATGGGATGAGCTTGAAGCTCCTTCCCATCCCAAACCATTCCCTGCTCCCGGATCCTTTTCCAGGTGCTGCAGGATGAGGATCCAAGCCCAGAGCTGCTCTTCTCCAAGGATTTGGGATTTCCAAACTGTTCCCATCAGCTGGAGCAGAACTCGGGTAAAAAGCGCTTTGATTCCTTCTAAAATCCCTGTTTATCCTTTCCTGCTTTTCCTGGAAAACACAGGGCTGGAAAATCCCAAAGAGATGTTGGAAAGCATCGAGGGAATGCTGAAAATCCCTGCAAAACTTGATTTTATCAATGTATTTTATAGGACAGGATGGAGAAAAAGTCTCAGCTGTGAGCATGGGAAAATTCCAGGAATATGGATAAAACCAGCAGGAATTGTGTTGGGAATAGGACGGGAAAAGCTGGATCCAGCTCCAGGTAAAAATTCCAATTTCAGCAAAAGAAAACTGCAAAATGTTCCCTTTTTTGAGATGTTTGAGGGGTTTAGGATGGAAGTTTAGGGTTGGCTGAGAAATCCTTGATTGGAATTAATATTCCAAACTTTTTGAAATGTTTGGGATTTGGGAATGAGGCAGAATTTGATTTGAACTCTCTTTAAATTTCTCCTTTCCAGCTGTGTCCAGAGGTGGCTCCTGGGCTGAATCTTCAGGAACTTTTCATGGGATTTCTGCTCCTGGTGCTGCTGAAAACCTCTGGAAAAGGAATTTTCTCTTGGAAAAAAAAATTGCTGGGACAAGCTGGGATTTCAGAGGAATTTCTGGGAATCCAGAGCTGCTTTTTCCTTTGTTTGTTCTAAAGAAAAATGTGGATTTTGATTGATTGAAGGTGCAGGAAATTCCTTTCTCTTTCATTATTGAGGGAATTTATTCTCAGTTCCAAGCCGAAATTCCACGTTTAAAGCTGCTCCTGTCATTCTTTGTATTCCAAGAGTTTGGGAATTAAAGAAAGATTGGGAATTGTAATATTGGGAATAAACCTGAAGGGTTATTTTTCCATGGTACAACTTTCCTTCTGTGATTTTTCATTCCTGAGTTTTTTTCCTGCTTTGTTTTTATAGGAATTGTGAATTTATGAGGTTGGTTTTTAATGGGAATTGTTGGGATTTTTTCCTTGTTTGTTTTTATCAGGAATTTGGAATTTATGGGATTGGTTTTTAGCAGGAATTTGAGGTTTTTTCCTTGCTTTTAACAGGAATTTGTGCGATTTTTCCTGTTCGTTTTTAGGAGAAATTTTGAATTTGTGGGATTTGTTTTTACCAGGAATTTTTAATGGAATTCCTGGGATTTCTCCTTGTTTATTTTACCACGCATTTTGAAATTATTTGGATGTGGTTTTAAGGGGAATTTTCAATGGAATTTGTCCTGTCCATTTTTACCAGGAATTCTGAATTTATGGAATTTTTCATAGTTAATTTTTAACAGGAATTTGTGGAGTTTTTTCCTTGTTAAATTTTACCATGAATTTTCAATTTGTGGGATTTTTCCTTGTTTATTTTTAAGAGGAATTTTGAATTTGTGGGATTGGGTTTTTTTGCAGGAATTTGAGTTTTTTTACTTGGCCATTTTAACAGGAATTTTGAATTGATGGGATTTATTTTTAGCAGGAATTTCTGGGATTTTTCCTTCTTTATTTTTCTGGGAATTTTGAATTTTTGGGATTGGTTTTTAGCAGGAATTTTTAATGGAATTTTTGGGGTTTTTCCCCACAGGAAATTGCAGTTTTTCCCTTTCTTTTCCCAGGATTCCCTCCCAAATTCCATAGGAATCCTCCCATTCCTGCCCCGCATTCCTGGGGTGAATTCCCATGGAAAATCCCTGGGAATTGTTTGTTCATCCCTTGAATGTCCCTTTGTTTTCCCACACAAAGAATTCCTTCTTTTTCCTAGGAACAACTCCCAGCTCTGCACAGATGAAAAAATCCCAGAATTCCCCAAATTCCCACCCTCAACATTCCCAGCTGGGGAACTTTGGGATGAAACAATTCCCTGGGATCCAGGAATTCCATGGAAAACACCCTTGGGATTTCACAAGAATTTCCAATTTGTGGTTTAACCCCTTAAAATCGGAATTTTCGCAGCATTCCAGGGAAAAAAGTGGGAAAATCTGATAAAAATAGGAGAAAAAGCTGATTTGAAGGTAAAAAATGAGGAAAAAAACTCCGGGATGGCTCAAAAATTCCCTAAAAATAGTTGGAAAATGTTATTCTCGTTTTTAAAATATTATTGTTAAATTTTCTTTTTCATGGAAAAATTTGTGGGGTAATTGCCATGTTCCTGATTTTTCTAATGGAATATTCCAAGATTTTCCTGCTTTATTTGCTTGGGTTAATGGGAAAATTTGGTAAAATGCCCCAAATATTCAGGGTGAGTTAAAAGTCCAAGGAATTCTGGGATAATCCCTCAGAATTTAGGGAGAATGGGTGGAAAACATGGAAAAATTGAATAAATTTGAGGTAGAATCCAAGGAAAAGTTGGGAATTGGGGGAGGTTTCCTGTGAAAAACAGGGATTGAATTCTTCAGAATGAGCAAATCCCATGGAGTCCAAGGGAAAATTGGGAATGGAGCTCCCATTGCTGCCGGCCCCCATTCCCGACATTCCCACCTGGAATTCCCATTCCTTGGAGCTGGGAAAAGCCCCTTTGGAGCCCCACATCCCATGTGGAGCAGGAGAATCCCCGGGTTTCTCCCTATGGATGCACCTGGATATGGCACAAAGAGCTGGAAAAGCAGCGGGAAAAGGAGGGGACGGCTCCATCCCGGGAAAAACCTTTGGGATCTCAAAAATACCTGGATAAAGGCACGGACTTCCCGGGAAAAGGCTGGGTTTGGGATGGGAAAAAAGTCTGGATTTGGGATGGGAAAAAGGCTGGATTTGGGATGGGGAAAAAAGCCTGGATTTGGGATAGGACGGGGCTGGATTTGGGATAGGACGGGGCTGGATTTGGGATAGGACAGGGCTGGATTTGGGATGGGGAAAAAAGCCTGGATTTGGGATAGGACGGGGCTGGATTTGGGATAGGACAGGGCTGGATTTGGGATGGGGAAAAAAGCCTGGATTTGGGATAGGACGGGGCTGGATTTGGGATAGGACAGGGCTGGATTTGGGATGGGGAAAAAAGCCTGGATTTGGGATAGGACAGGGCTGGATTTGGGATAGGACAGGGCTGGATTTGGGATGGGGAAAAAAGCCTGGATTTGGGATAGGACGGGGCTGGATTTGGGATAGGGCGGGGCGGGATTTGGGATGAGGAGAAAAGGCTGGATTTGGGATAGGACAGGGCTGGATTTAATCCAGATTATCCCGAGATCCTGGGGATGTTTGGAATTTTTTGGGATCAGTCCCGTGCTCCAGCAGCTCCTGGTGGTTTTTCCAAGCGGGACCCGGGGGCTCGGATGCCTCTGGAATGCGGGAATTGTACCTGGATCTGCTCCTGACATTCCCATGGCAACCTCATCCCAGGGGGATTCATTGTGGAGGGAATCAAAGGATGGAGGCTGGAGAAGACATTCCCGGTGTGTTCCTGACGGGCCAGAATTCCGGAGCGCATCCCGTGAACGGCGGCTCCAGATGGGTTTGGCAGGAACACAATTCCCGAGGGATGGATGGGACAGGGAATGTCCAGTGCAGGGGTTGGCAGAGGGATAAACAACAGCTGGGAAAAGCGGGATCGGGACGGGCCACGGAGCTGGGCGGGATTTGGGAAGGGAGGGATAATGGGGATGAGGCGGGAGCAGGGATTTGGGATTTATCCCAGCCAGACCCATCCCTCTCCTCGGGAACACTGCGGGCTCTTCTGGGATTTCCCGTTGGAGTCTCCTCATTGGAGGTGAACGGGAGAGGCTGGAGATGGGAAAAGGCTCCTGGAACCTGGATTTTCCTTTGGATCCTGGGGAAATCTGGGATGCTGGGAAGTGCTGATGGATTTCATGGAGCGTGGGGGATTGGAGGAGTTTTGGAGGGCTGGGAAAGGAGGGAATGGGAATGGGGAAGGAGGGAATGGGAATGGGAGATGATCCCTGCTTGGATTTCCTGGGAAAAAGGAATCCCCAGGGATGCCCCCATGGACCCCGTGATTATCCCAGGAATTGGGCTCAGCAGCTCCATGGAGATTTGAGATTCCATGGAATGCAGCTGATCCCTGCAGGATCCAGCTTTGGGATGCTCCATGGAGCGAGGCTGGGAGATCCCAAAAAAGGATTGTTGGGATTGAGGGATCACTCCAGAACCATGGGAGCGGCGGCGGACGCGGAGTGGCTGCGCTGGGTGAGCAAGAAATTCGGGAGTGTCGCTGGGAAGGAAATCAGCCTGGAAGAGTTCAAATCTGCCCTACAGGTCAAGGAGGTCAGGGATCCGTGGAAAAGGGAATGGGATATGTGGGAAGAGGGGAGGGATCCATGGGAAGAGGGAATAGGATCCATGACGGGAGAGATCAGTGGGAATTCCCTGATCCATGAGAACATTCCTGATTCCCTGCTCCATAGGAACATTCTCTGATCCATTGGAACATTCCCTGATCCATGGAGAACATTCCTCAATTCCCTGATCCATGGGAACATTCCCTGATGCATGGAGAACGTTCCCGATTCCCTGCTCCAGGGGAACATTCCCGCTTTTCCCGCAGTCCTTCTTTGCCGAGAGGTTTTTTGCGCTCTTCGATTCCGACGGGAGCGGCTCCCTGAGCCGGGAGGAGCTGCTGGGATCCCTGAGCCGCCTGCTCCGCGGGAATTCCACGGAAAAGCTCCAATTCCTCTTCCAGGTGTACGATGTGGACGGTGAGAGGAGAAAAGCGGGATTCGTTGGGGTTTCTTGGGATAGATTTGGGATTTGGTCTTCTCTGAGCATCCGGCTTTGGCTGGGATGAGGCTGCTGCCCTCGTTCCATGTGGGAATGGGAAAATTCCAGCGGGAAGACAAGGATTCCATCAGTCACAACTGAGGATTTCCGAGGATTTCCCATCAGCCAGGGAGAGCAGGATCTGCTCCGCTCCAATCCCAACTCCCCATCCTGCTTTCCTGAAATTCTGGAATCGTTTGAGTTGGAAAAGCCCTCAGAGATCGAATCCAACCATTCCCACCCCCAACCCCCTTCCAATGCCATCCTTTCCATGAAGGAATATTCCCAAATATCCACCCTGAACCTCCCCTGGATGCCATTCCCATTGTCCTGTTCCTGGTTCTGGGGAGCACATCCTGACCCATCCAGGGTTTTCCACTGGGAAAATCTGTAGAACCGTGGAAAATCAGAATGGAGGTGACTCCGTAGAAATGTGGAATATTGGGATCAACCTGATTCTCCAGGGAGCACATCCTGACCCACCCAGGTTTTTCCTCCCTGCGAGGAAAATTCCTGGATTAGGACTGGAAAATTGGGATGGAAGTGACTCCATGGGGCTGTGGAATATTGGGATGGAGGTGGCTGTAGGACTGGAATATCAGGATGCAATTCACTCCATGGGGCTGTGGGATATTGGGATGGAGGTGACTCCATGGGACTGTGGAATATCAGGATGGAAGTCACTCCATGGGGCTGTGGGATATCGGGATGAAGATGACTCCATGGGACTAGAATACCTGGATGGAGGTGACTCTGTACGGCTGTGGGATATCGGGATGGAGGTGATTCCATGGATCTGTGGGATATCGGGATGGAGATGACTCCATGGGGCTGTGGGATATCGGGATGGAGGTGACTGTAGGACTGGAATATTGGGATGGAGATGACTCCATGGGGCTGTGGGATATTGGGATTGTCCCGGTTTCCAGGGAGCGGCTCCATCGATGCCGAGGAGCTGCGGGTGGTGCTCCGGGGGTGTCTCCAGGAGAGCTCCCTGGCCCTTCCCGAGGAGCGGCTCGGGGCGCTGAGCCAGGCCCTGCTCCAGGCCCTGGACCGGGACCACAGCGGCTCCATCACCTTCCCGGAGCTCCGGGAGCAGCTGGAAGCGTTCCCGGAACTCCTGGAGAACCTGAGCATCAGGTGGGGAGGGGAACTCTGGGAAAGGATTCCATGAGGAGCCCACAGTGGGGTTGGGAGCAGCTGGAGAGGTTTGGGATTGGATCAGGGATGGCTTGGGATGGGTGCAGGGTTTGGATTTTGGGATGGATGCTGCCACTCTGGCTGTAGGGCTGGGTACCACCCCGGGCTGGGTACTTCTCCAGCTCCCCATTCCCCATCCAAACACCCCCAAATTCCCATCCAAACCCCATTTCCCATTTTCCCAGTGCTGCCAGCTGGCTGAAGCCCCCCAGTCCCAGCCCTGCTGCGCCCTGGCTGTGCTGCTTTTCCCGGGAACCCCACGAGGATCAGCAGCCCGGGATGTGCTGCTTTTCCCGGGAACCCCACGAGGATCAGCAGCCCGGGATGTGCTGCTGTTCCCGGGAATCCCGCGGGGACCGGCGGGCCCGGCTGTGCTGCCTGGGGGCCTGGGTCGCCGCCACGGCGCTCCTGCTCGCCCTGGGGGCTCTGTGGCACCGGGAGCGCGGCCCGGCCCTGGCGCTGGCCCGGGGCTGCGGGCAGAGCCTCAACCTCAACTGCGCCCTGCTGGCCGTGAGTGCCCCGCGACACCGGGGGGACACCGGGGGGACACGGAGGGGGAGGGAGCAGGAAAGGCCGGGAGGGTCCTGGGATAGCCAGGAGGGATGCTGGCCCAAAGTTTCCTGTTGTCCCCGGCGTTTTCCATGGTCCCCCAACATTTCCCGTTCCCTCTGGAATGTCCCATTATCCCCCAACATTTCCCATTTCCCATTGCCTCCCCGCATTTCCCATTGCCCCAGTGCCTCCCATTTCCATTTGCTCCCTGGTATCTCCGGGTGCCCTGGCCCCTCTCCTCGCCCACTGCTCGTCCGTGTCCCCAGCGCTGTCCCCGTCCCCTCCCTCACTCCCGTCCCTGTTCCCCTCCCCTCTTGTTGTCTCCTCCCTCGCCCCCTGTCCCCGTCCCTCTCTCCCGACCTCGCCCCCCGTCCCTCTCTCCCGACCCTGCCCTCACCGCTGTCCCTGTCCCCTGCCCCGTCCCCGCTGTCCCTACGCTGTCCCCTGTCGCTGTCGCCAGGCGCTGATGCTGCGGCGCTCTCTGACCTGGCTGCGCTCCACGCCGCTGGCGGAGCTGTTCCCGCTGGAGCTGCACGTGCGGGGCCACGAGCGCGTGGGACACCTGGTGCTGGTCCTGGGGACCGCGCACGCGGGGGCACACCTGGCACAGGCCGGTCAGTGACAGGGGACACACCTGGCACAGGCCGGTCAGTGACATGGGGACACGGGGACAGGGAGCCCATGGAAGGGGGTGTCCGTGTCCCAGGATCTCATGGAAGGAGTGTCCGTGTCGCGGGATCCAATGGAAAGGGGTGCCCAAGGACGGGGGAGATGCCCCGGAGGAGGGATGGCCGTGCCGGGACGGCTGCGAGGGCACAGGCGGGGACAGGGACAGGGGCCGAGCACGGGACATGGGCCGGACAGGGCAGGGCACGGGCAGGGCACGGGCAGCAGCCGCGGGCTGTGATCCCCCTCTAGCGGCTCCCGCCGGACAGCCGAGGTCCCGAGCGGGATCCCAATCCCACATCCCCAAAGCCCCGCACCCCACGTTCCCAAACTCCGGCACCCCGCATCCCCAAATCCCGGCACCCCCCATTCCCCAAATCCCGGCACCCCCCATTCCCCAAATCCCGGCACCCCGCATCCCCAAATCCCGACACCCCGCATCCCCAAATCCCGGCACCCCGCATCCCCAAATCCCGCACCCCGCATCCCCAAATCCCGGCACCCCGCATTCCCCAAATCCCGGCACCCCGCATCCCCAAATCCCGGCACCCCACACCCTGGTACCCCCAGTCCCCATCCCAGAGCCGGTGCCAGGGCTCTCCCCGCTCTGCTCCCCGTGTCCCTCCCGTGCCAGCACCCCCGGGACAGGCCCGGGGCATTCCCGGCGGGGGTGGCAGGGCCGCGCTGAGCCGTGCCCGTGTCCCCAGGGCTGGCACGGCGGGACTGGCTCGTGGCCCTGGGCGAGTACGTGCGGCGGGCGGGCGCTGGTGGCGTTGGTGGCACTGCCCCGCAGAGCGGGCTGGCGCTGCTGGCGCTGCTCCTGGCCATGCTCGCCTGCTCCAGCCCCTGCGTGCGCCGCGGCGGCCACTTCGAGGTGATCCCATGGGAATTCCCGGCTGGAATGGCGGGGGTGCCCTGGTGGGAAGGGGGTGCCCGTCCTGGTGCTGCCCCGTGGGAGCCCTGGGCACGCCACACTCGCAGTTCGGGGTTCCTGCGATTTTCTTCCCCACGGGACCCAGGGAATGGTTTCCCAGTGCCACAGGGATATTGGGATGGGGTTCCCAGAGAAGCTGTGGGAGTGTCCCTGGAGCAGCCTGGGATAGTGGGAGGCGTTGGGATTGGAACCAGATGGGTTTATGGTCCTTTCCAAGCCAAATCCCAGAGATTCCAGGATTCCCTTGGGCTGCCTTTTCCCACTGGGATACCCAGACAGTCCCACAAGGAAGCACCATTTGGGTCCAGCACTTCCCATTGCCATTCCCACCCCCATTCCCATTCCCAGGTGTTTTACTGGAGCCACCTCTCCTACATCCCCGTGTGGCTCCTGCTGCTCCTGCACGGTCCCCACTTCTGGAAGTGGTTCCTGATTCCCGGCTCCCTCTTTGTGCTGGAGAAGGTTCTGGGCTGGGCGTGGCGCCGGGCAGAGGATCTGCACATCCTGGAGGCCAAGCTGCTGCCCTCCAAGGTGGGAGTAAATCCCAAATCCTAAATATTCCGAATCCCAAACATCCCAAATCCAATCTATCCAAAATCCCAAACATACTATCATCCCACATGCCAAATCCCATCAATTCCACATCCCATTATCCCAAATCCCACCCACCTGCTGCCCTTTGGAGGGTCCATCCATCCATCCATCCATCCATCCATCCATCCATCCACCCATCCATCCCAAATCCCACTATCCCACCTCCCACCTTCTCCTGGCACTCTGGGAATGACAGAACAAACAAACAAACACAGAAAAGCTGGAGGTGGCAGTGGGAGGCCAAAGGAATTCCTTTATTTCCAAGCCTTTTCCCCTATTTTTTAAAATGAAAACTCACTGAACAACCGGAGCAGAACAAAAACTCCTGGAACACAGGTTTTTTTTCCCCAAATCCCATAGTTTGAGCCCAATCTGAACTGGGATTCTGTGCAAACCAAACTGGGCAGGGAATGGGGAACAAACCCAACAGGAGGGGCAGAACCTACAATTTCCGCTGCACGGAATCCAGCAGGGGACATCCTTTGGGCATTCCCGGTTTTCCTGCTCCCGTTCTCCTGCAGGTGACCCACCTGGTGATCCAGAGGCCGAAATCCTTCCGCTTCCAGCCGGGGGATTACGTGTACCTGAACGTGCCGGCCATCGCTGCCTACGAGTGGCACCCCTTCTCCATCAGCAGCGCCCCGGAGCAGCCAGGTTCCTCCTGCGCCCTGCAAATCCCCCTGGAATTTTCCTTTAACATCTCTGGGATCTGTTTCCCACCCCTGGGATCTGTTTCCCACCCTTGGGATCTGTTTTTCATCCCGAGGCTCTGTGAACCACCCCTGGAATCTGTTTCCCATCCCTGGAATGTTTTCCATCCCTGAGATCTGTTTTCCATCCCTGGGACCTGTTTTCCCACCCAGGATCCATTTCCCATCCTTGGAATCTGTTTTCCATCTCTGGGATCTGTTTCCCACCCTTGGGATGTGTTTCCCATCCCTGGAATATTTCCCACCCTCAGGATCTGTTTCCCATCCCTAGGATCTGTTTCCCACCCTTGGGATTTCTTTTCCCACCCCTGGGATCTGTTTCCCATCCCTGGAATGTTTCCCACCCCCAGGATCCATTTCCCATGCCCAGGATCCATTTCCCACCCCCAGGATCTGTTTTCCATGCCCATGGTGAAGTATTTCCAGCTCCGATGGGGCTTGGAGCGAGCCGGGCCATGGAAGGCGTTTCCATGGGATGAGTTGGGTTTGAAGTTCTTCCCAATCCAGATAATTCCAGGAATTTGGGATTGATCCCCACAGAAACCCTCTGGCTGCACATCCGGGCGCGGGGCCAATGGACCACCAAGCTCTACGAGTACTTCCAGCAGCTGGAATTGCACGGCCCGGAGCCAAATCCACCCGGGAAGGGCTGCAGGGAGCGGAGGAGCCGGCACTGGGAACAGGTGGGATTGTGGGGTTGGGATCAGAGCAAGGGGACGGATCCCATGGGATCATCCCAGCTGGGGAATCCCTCGGGATGAAGGTTCCCTGCTTGTCCAGCCTTGAAGGATTTGTGTCCCATGGAACGGGAATTTGTGCTCCGTGGAATGGGATGGATGGATGGATGGATGGATGGATGGATGGGATGGGATGGTGGGATTTGGGATTAATAGGATTTTGTGCCACATCAAATGGGATTTGGGATGGATGGATGGATGGATGGATGGATGGATGGATGGATGGGAGGGATGGTAGGATTTGGGACTGATGAGATTTTTTGCCCCATGAAATGGGAATTCCTGTGACTCTGCTGGAGGCCCAGCAGATCCCTGGAGCAGTGATCCCAGTGCTGATTCCAGCCTTGGTTCCCAGGAAGGCTCCGTGGCCTCCGGCAGGGATGGAGCCGTGGAGCTGACGGCGTTCCGAGCCTCTGGAGCCGCTTTCCCTGGAAAGGACCCGGAGCAGGGGGTGAGCACTGCCCTCATCCCAGGGACAGGGACTGGATCCCAAATGGGATAAAGCTCCTTAAAATCTCCTCTTTGGAAAGAATTTCCTTGGATATTATTGCGGCATTGACAGCTGGAATTGTGTGTGTGCAGCTCAGTGGGAAAATGCCCAAATCCAGGGAATTTTGGGAGTGCTTGGGAAGGGGGGATGATCACTGCTCCTCGCTCCTGCAGGGCACCGCACCTGGGGAGAGCCAGCGGAGCTGCAGCGTCAAGGTGAGGATGTTCCCACCTTTCCTGGATCCTGGGAAATGGGCTGGGATCAGCATTCCCACCATCCCATCCCCGTTCCCAGCTGCTCCATCCCTGTATCCCTGTGCATGGATGATCCCACCTGAGGCTGATCAAACCCTGCCCTGCCAGAAAACTCCAGTCCTTCCCACCCATTCCTTGCTCCCACAAAACCCTGGGAAGATCCCAAATTCCAGGATCCCCTTTGTGCCTTTCTCCTCCACCTGGGAGCTGCTCCAGCCCCTGGAAGTGCTGGATCCGCCCCTGGAACTGCTGGATCTGTCCCAGTGCTTCCTGGACGGTCCCTACGGAACGCCGAGCCGGCGCATCTTCACCTCGGAGCACGCCGTTCTCATCGGGGCCGGCATCGGGATCACCCCCTTCGCCTCCATCCTGCAGAGCATCATGATCCGGTGGGTCCCCTGGAATCTGGGAACTCCCCAGGGATTTGGGATGCAGGCCCTGGTGGAGCTGTCCTCCAACCCTTGATCCTTGGGATTCAAGAGGTGGGACCTCTCTTGGTGCCAGGGTTTTCCTTGGGGATTTGGGCAGCGGGAAAGGCGCTGCAGGGAGCTTGGCCATGGGCAGGCAGGGAGGGAAGGGAGGGAAAGGGAAGGAAAAGGAAGGAAGGACCAGGAATGGGCAGGAAAAGGAAGGAAAGTGCAGGAAAAGGTAGGAAGGGGAAGGAAAGGGAAGGAAAAGGCAGGAAGAAGCAGGAAAAGGTAGAAAGGGACAGGAAGGAACAGGAATGGGAAGGAAGGAGCAGGAATAGGAATGAAGGAGCAGGAATGAGCAGGAATGGGAAGGAAGGAGCCAGAAAAGGCAGGAATGAGCAGGAAATGCTGCTCCCTGCACAGGTACCGGCGGCGGAAGCAGAGCTGCCCCAGCTGCCGTTTCTCCTGGAGTGAGGAACGGCGGGATGAGGAGATGACGCTCCGGAAGGTGGGAATGGGAGCAAGAGGGGATGTGGGATCCAGGCTTGGCCTGGCATGGGGCTGCAGGGTCTGGGGTGGAGAGCCTGGGAGCATCCCTGAAATCTGGGAGCTTTGGGAATGGGGGTTGGATCCGGTGATGGGATCCGGTGCCGGGATCTGGTGCCGGGATTTGGTGATGGGATCTGGTATCAGGATCTGGTATTGGGACCTGGCAGGACCCAGTGAGGTCCCAAGGCGAGGCTTTCCCGCCCTGCCAGGTGGATTTCATCTGGATCACGCGGGACCAGCAGCACCTGCAGTGGTTCCTGGGCCTCCTGGCCAAGCTGGAGGCGGAGCAGGCGGAGCTGGAGCTGGGAGGTGAGCGGGAGAACCCGGCATCATTCCCGGGAACACCCCCAGCCCAATCCAGGCCCTGGAGCGGGGCCGGATCCTGGTGGGAACGGCTGGGATTGGCAGGGAAGTTCCTGGAGCTGCACCTGTACATGACCTCGGCGCTGGGCAGGGGCGATGTGAAGGCGCTGGGGCTGCAGCTGGCCCTGGACCTGCTGGCGGCGCGGGAGCAGCGCGATTCCATCTCCGGGCTGCGCTGCCGCACCCAGCCCGGCCGCCCCGACTGGGAACAGGTCAGGGAAACGGGATACACGGAATGGGAATGGTGGGCAGGGGAGAGGGTGAGCGGGGCCAGGGGAGGGAGCAGGGAATCGGGGAATGGGATCATGGATCGGGGAATGGGATCATGGATCGGGGAATGGGAGCAGGGAATAGGATCACGGAATCGGCAAATGGGATCAAGGAATCAAGGAATGGGACCATGGAATGGGATCAGAGAACTGGGGAATGGGACCATGGAATGGGGGAATGGGATCATGGAATGGGATCAGGGAATCAGGGACTGGGATCATGGAAGCGGGGAATGGGATCATGGAATGGGATCATGGAATCGGGGAATGGGAGCAGGGAATGGGATCAGAAAACTGGGGAATGGCATCATGGAATACGATCAGACAACTGAGGAATGAGATCAGAGAATCAGGGAATGGGATCATGGTATGAGATCATGGAACTGGGGAATGGGATCATAGAATCAAGGAATGAGATCATGGAATAGGATCCGAGAATTGGGGAAATGGGATCAGGGAATCAGGGAACGGGATCATGGAATAGCATCGGAGAACTGGGGAATAGGATCATGGAATAGGATCAGAAAGCTGGAGAATGGGATCATGGAATCCTGCAATGAGATCAGAGAACTTGGGGAATGGGATCATGGAACTGGGGAATGGGATCATGGAATAAGATCCAAGAATTGGGGAATGGGATCAGAGAATTGGGGCATGGGATCAGAGAATCCTAGAATGTGTTGGGAGGGAATGGGAAGATGATGTCATTCCAAGCCTCTGATCTGGGTCAGATTGTGGCATTGTGGAATGGGATCGTGGAATGGGATCAGAGAATTGAGGAATGGGATCATGAAATGGGTTGGGTTGGAAGAGACCCCAACGCTGACCTCATTCCAACTGTCCCGTCTGGCCCAGGGATGATGGGATGGGCTCAGGGGATGCAGGAAGGGAAGGGAAGGGAAGGGAAGGGAAGGGAAGGGAAGGGAAGGGCGGGTCCTGGGTCGCGGATCTCGGCGCGTTGCCGTTGCAGGTGTTCGCGCGGGTGGCGGCGGAGCGGCGCGGGGCGGTCGCGGTGTTCCTGTGCGGATCCGCGGGGCTGGCCCGGGCCATCCGCGGGCACTGCCGCCGCTTCGGCTTCCGCTTCCACCGGGAGAACTTCTGAGAGAGCCCGAATGTCAGCCGGGATCTGCGGCCGGCAGCGGGGTGGGGATGTGGGAATGCTCCCTTTGGAAAAGCGCGGGAATAAATCGGGAAAATATGGGAAAGCTTCCTTTGGATCTCAGGAATAATTGAGGGAAAGATGGAAATGTTGGGGCTCATGGGAGCAATTCCAGCTCCTTGGCAAAACCAAGGAAAAACTGGGATGGGAATCAGTGTATGAGAGATGCTACTCGCTCCAGCCTGGAATCTGTGCTGGATTTGCATTGGGTTTCCTGGTGAATCAAGGGAATCCAGGAATCAGGAGCTGGTGAGGCCATGGATAACAATTCCACGCTTGGAATTCCCGATTTTCCAGCCTTTTCCAGGCCTGGGATCTGCTCCAAAGCAGCAGCTCCTGGTGGGCAAGGCACAGAAACCCGGGTTAGCGTTGGATTGGGATTGAACCGCGTTCATCCAGGCTCTGTTGGGTTTATCCCGAGCAGGGTGGTTTTTAGGGATGGAGGATCAGGGATTTGTTTGGAATCATGGAATTGTTTCTGTTGGAAAAGCCCTTGGAGATCCCGGACTCCAACCACACCACTGTCCCGAGGTGCCACATCCAAAGGGTTCCGATCCCTCCGGGATGTGACTCCAGCCCTGCCTGGCAGCTCCTCCGTGCCTGGAGCCTTTCCAGGTGGGAATTTTCCCAACATTCCCAAACCTCCCCTGGCGCAGCCGCTCCCCCCTCCGCTCTCCCTGAGCCGTCCTGCCCAGCCCGCCGCTCTCCCGGTCCCTTTCATCAGTTACTCATTAATTATTCATTAATTATTCATTAATCCGCGTTAATTATCGCGATCAAAGCCGCCGCCTCACGCGGCCCCGCCACGTGACCACGCTGTGGGCGGGGCACCGCTCAGCCAATCCGCGGCGCGCTCCGCCCGGAAGCCCCGCCCCTCAAACGCGCGCTTCTGATTGGTCGCCGCCGCTCTCGCGGGAAGCCGGGGCGGGGCCGCTCCCGCCACTCCCCCCCGGCCGCGCCGGTGCCAGCGGGGGCTGCGGCGGTGCCGGGACCCCGCGCGGGTGCGAGCGGCGCCCGCAGCGCTCCCGGTGCCACCGGAGCCGCCGGGGCGGCGGCGCCTCCTCCCCGCCCCTCCCCACCCCACCCTACCCTACCCGGCGCCGTTGTGGCGGCGGCACCGCCGCGCCGCGCTTTCCCATTGGCTGGCGCCCGGCGCTCGCACCGCCTCCCGAGCGCTCCCATTGGCCGCGACGCGCGAGGGCGGGGCCGCGGCGCGGCCCCTCCGTGCTCCCCCCGCTGCCCCGCGCGGGGGTTCCGCCGCCCGCCAGGCCCTGGGCGCAGGTGAGGAGCGGGCCGGGATTCCCGGGAATTCCCGGGATAACGGGAATGATGGCAATGACGGGAGTGGTGGGAATCATGGCAGCAGGAGAGAGGGAGGGCAGCGCGGTTACCCGGGCTGGGCGTGCTCGGGCCGCCTCGGGGTTGCTGCCGGAGCCTGGAATGAGGGAATGGGAGCGGTGGGAATTCGGGAATTCGGGCTGGGAATGCGGGAATGCGGGCTGGGAACGTGCGGGAATACGGGATATGGGCTGGGGGAATGTGGAGTGCAGGAACCTCGGCTCGGGGATTCGGGAATATGGGATCCGGAATTCCTGGGATTCCCTGAGGATTTTCCTGGAATTCTGAAACGTTTCCTGGGAATCAGAGGAGTTTCCCGGGAACACCACGATTTCCCTGGGAACGTCAGGGTTTTCCTGGAATTCAGAGGAGTTTCCTGGGAGTACCAGGATTTCCCAGGAAAAGCTCCATCTGGGGCTGCTCCAGCTCCATTTTTCCCGGTTTTCCCTGCAGGAATCCCAAGAGGAATCCGTAAATCACGGGATTTTTGCCTCTGGAAGCTCGAGATGCGTTAGAATTCCAAGAATTCCCAGAATTCCCTTTCCCTAAGGTAAGAGCAGAGCTGCTTTTCCCCATTCCTGTTTATTCCCGGCTCTGCTGGGATCCCGGGAGTTCCTATCCCAGCTTGGATCCCAGATTTCCCTGATTCCTGGGAATGTTGGCACTGACCCTGGACAGGGACACCATTCCCATCCAGGAAATCCCAAACCCATGTCCTGATCCTGTTTTTCCGTGGTTTTCCCAGGAATGTTCCACCATGAGTGCCATTCCCAGCTGGAACATCCCAAATCTCCCTCCTGGTCCTGTTCTTCCATGTTTTCCCAGGAATGCAGGACTGTGTGCTGACCATTCCTATCCAGAACATCCCAAATTCTTCTCCTGATCCCATTTTTCCATGTTTTTCCAGGAATGCAGCACCATGAGTACCATTCCCATCTGGAACATCCCAGATTTCCCTCCTGATCCTATTTTTCCCTGTTTTCCCAGGACTGTGTGCTGATCATTCCCATCTGGAACATCCCAAATCCCTCTCCTGATCCCGTTTTCCCGTTTTTCCATGTTTTCCCCAGGAATGCAGCACCATGTGCTGCCTGGCCCCATCACCCTGACCATTCCCATCAGGTCCACCCCAAATCCTTCTCCTGATCCCGTTTTTCCGTGTTTTTCCCTGTATTTCCCCAGGAATGCATCACCATGTGCTGGCCCAGATGCCATTCCCACTGGAACAACCCAAATCCCTCTCCTGATCCCGTTTTTCCCCATTTTTCTATGTTTTTCCCAAGAAAGCAGCACCATGCACTGCCTGACCCCATCACCATGACCATTCCCATCAGGAACCCCCCAAATCCCTCTCCTGATCCCGTTTTTCCCCGTTGTTTTCCCCAGGAATGCAGCACCATGCGCTGCCTGACCCCATCACCATGACCATTCCCATCTGGAACACCCCAATTCCCTGTCCTGATCCCGTTATTCCCATCCAGAACCCCCCAAATCCCTCTCCTGTTCCCATTTTCCCTGTTGTTTTTCCCAGGAATGCAGCACCATGCGCTGCCTGACCCCATCACCATGACCATTCCCATCTGGAACACCCCAAATCCCTCTCCTGATCCCGTTTTTCCCCGTTTTTCTCCGTTGTTTTCCCCAGGAATGCAGCACCATGCGCTGTCTGGCCCGCCTCAGCTCCAAGGCGCTCCTGGTGCTCTGCTCCCTCCTGGCTCTGCTCTCGCTGCTGCTCTGGACCCGCTGCTCCCATCGCCCCCCGCCCGCCCCGGGACCCCCGGAGCACCCCGGCGTTCCCGACAGCGAGGAGGCCTCACCCCAGGACGCCCCCCGAGCCCCGGGAATGCTGGGAAGCGCCGGGAGGGCGGCGGCGGCGGCGGGGCCGCGCTACGAGGAGATCGACTGCGTCATCAACGAGGAGCAGACGGTGAAGGGGCGGCGCGAGGGCAGCGAGGTGTTCCTGCCCTTCAGCTGGGTGGAGAAGTACTTCCAGGTGTACGGGCGCATCGCCCAGGCTGACGGCGGCGAGAGGTTCGAGTTCTCGCACAGCTACTCCAAGGTGTACGCGCAGCGCGCGCCGTACCGGCCCGACGGCGTCTTCATGTCCTTCGAGGGCTACAACGTGGAGCTGCGCGACAGGGTCAAGTGCATCAGCGGCGTGGAGGGTGAGGGACGTCTCTGGGGTTGGGATGAGCCCTAAAATCTCCTGGAAGTGCTCTGTAAAATGTGCTGGAAGTGCTCCGTAAAATGTGCTGGAAGTGCGAAATGACCTGGATGTTCTGGTGGGAATGTGGGAATGGTGATAGGGACGAGTGCGTCAGTGGCATGGAGGGTGAGGGACTGGGTGTTCCCCGTGGAGAATCTTTGGGGTTGGGATGAGCCTTGAAATCTCCTGGAAGTGCTCTGTAAAATGTGCTTGAAGTGCAGAGTGATCTGGATGGGAATGGGGGTGATGACACGGTCAAGTGCATCAGTGGCGTAGAGGGTGAGGGCCTGGGAATTCTTGGGAATTTTTGGTGTTGGGATGAGCCCAAACATCTCCTGGAAGTGCTCTGTGAAATGTGCTAGAAGTGCTTCGTAAAATGTGCTGGAAGTGCAAAGTGACCTGGATGTTCTGGTGGGAATGTGGGAATGGAGGTGGTACCAGCAAAGTCCATGACAGGATCAAGCGCATCAGCAGCGTGGAAGGTATGAGCCTGGGCACTCTCAGGAATTTTTGGGGTTGGAATGAGCCCAGAAATGTGCTGGAAGTGCAGAGTGACCTGGATCTTCTCCTGGGAATGTGGGAATGGAGGTGGCACCAGCAAAGTCCATGACAGGGTCAAGTGCATCAGTGGCGTGGAGGGTGAGGGACTGGGCGTTCCCCGTGGGGAATTTCTGGCGTTGGGATGAGCCCTAAATTCTCTTGGAAGTGCTCCATAAAATGTGCAGGAAGTGCAGAATGACCTGGATGTTTTGGTGGGAATGTAGGAATGGTGATAGGGACAAGTGCGTCAGCGGCGTGGAGGGTGAGGGACTGGGCATTCCTGGGAATTTTTGGGGTTGGGATGATCCTTAAAATCTCCTGGAAGTGCGCTGTGAAATGTGCTAGAAGTGCTTCGTAAAATGTGCTGGAAGTGCAAAGTGACCTGGATGTTCTGGTGGAAATGTGGGAGTGGTGGTAGGGTCAAGAGCATCAGTGGTGTGGAAGGTGGGAGGCAGAGGATTCCCAGGAATTTTTGAGATTGGGATGAGCCTGAAGATATCCTGAAACTGCTCTTTAAAATGTGCTGGAAGTGCTCCTTAAAATGTGCTGGAAGTGTGAAGTGACCTGGATTTGGTGATGGGAATGTGGGGATGGGGGTGGCGCTGTCAAGGTCTGTGACAGGGTCAGGTGCATCAGTGGTGTGCAGCGTGGGTTTTGCTGGGAAAGCAGAGGATTCCCAGCAATTTTTGGGATTGGGATGATCCTTAAAATGTGCTGGAAGTACAGAGTGACCTGGATGTTCTGGTAGGAATGTGGGAGTGGGGGTGGCACTGGCAAGGTCTGTGACAGGGTCAAGGGCATCAGCAGAATAGAAGGTTTTTAGGGATTGGGATGATCCTGAAAATCTGCTGGAAGTCCTCCTTAAAATGTGTTGGAAGTGTGAAGTGACCTGGATTTGGTGCTGGGAATGGGGGAATGTGGGAATGGGGTTTAGTGGTGGCACCTCCAGCCTTGGGATCCTCAAGGATGAGTTGGGTGGGACAGGACGCAGGGAATGGCTCCCACTGCCAGAGGGCAGGGATGGATGGGATATTGGGAAGGAATTCCTGGCTGGGCTGGAATTCCTAGAGAAGCCATGGCTGCCCCTGGATCCCAAGAGTGTCCAATGCCAGCTTGGAGCAGTCTGGTATTGTGGAAGTGTCCCTGCCCTTGAAAGGGCTGGAATGGGGTGGGATTGAGGTTCCCTTGCACCCAGCCTGTTCCACAATTTTATAAAAGTCATGAAGTCCACGCCAGGGGTTCCTCTGCCAGCTAAAACCATGGAATTCCAGATTTTAGTGGGAAAGGGCCCAACCTCCTCCTTACCTCTAACCTCCAACTGCATTGATGGAGCTCCCGGAATTTCAGGGTGCAGAGGAGGACTTTTCCCCTCATTCCAACGCTTTTTCCATGTTTTTTCCGGGCAGGAGTTCCTCTCTCCACGCAGTGGGGCCCTCAGGGCTACTTCTACCCCATCCAGATCGCCCAGTACGGGCTGAGCCACTACAGCAAGAACCTGACGGAGAAGGCGCCGCACGTGGAGGTGTACGAGACGGCCGGGGACGGGAACGGGAACGGGGAATGGACGGTGCCCAAGGGCTGCTCCCTCACCACCGTCTGGGACAAGACCCGGCTCACCGGCGTCAAGCAGTTCTCCTGCCCAGGTGGGTGGTGGAGCAGGGAGCGGGAATTGTTGGGTGCTGGGGTTTTGTTTGGCCTTTGTTCCCAGTCCTTGATTCCAGTCCTTCGTTCCCAGTCCTTCATTCTCAATCCTTTTCATTCCCAGTCCTTCATTGCCAATCTCTTGTTCCCCACCCTTTTAATTTCTAGTCCTTCGTTCCCAATCCTTGAATCCAGTCCTTCATTCTCAGTCCTTCATTCTCAATCCTTTTCATTCCCAGTCCTTCATTGCCAATCCCTTGTTCCCCACCCTTTTAATTTCTAGTCCTTCATTCTCAATCCTTCACCTTCATTCCAATCTTTTGTTCCCAGTCCTTCATTCCCAATCCTTTTCATTCCTTATGCTTCATTTCCTGTCTTCTTCACTCTTCATCCTTTTCATTCTCCATCCTTTTATTCCCTGTCCTTTTTCCTCCCAATCCTTTGTTCCCAATCCTTCATTCCCAGTCCTTCCTTCCAAATTCTTCATTCCTAGTCCTTCCTTCCCCATCCTTTTAATTCCCAGTCCTCCATTCCCCATCCTTTTCATTCCTCATCCTTCATTCCCAATCCAATCAGGTGAAACAGCCCAGAAACGTTGAATTATTGAAGGGCTGCTCTAAAAGCTTTGGAATCCCTCCTGGGAGCGGGGATGGCCTCTGGAATCCGCTCCAACCCTTTGGAAGCGGGAATCTTTCCGTGCTGAGCGAGGCTTTTCCGGGGTTGCTTTTGCAGAAAGCTCCGAGGGCGTCTCCCTGGAGCTCAACAACGGCCGGGATTTCATCATCTCCTTCGACCTGAAGCTGCTGAGCAACGGCAGCGTGTCCGTGGTGCTGGAGACCACGGAGAGGAACCAGCTCTTCACCGTGCACTACGTGTCCAGCACGCAGCTCATCGCCCTCAGGGACAGGGACATCTTCTACGGCATCGGAGCGCGCAGCAGCTGGAGCACGCTCACGCGGGACCTGCTGACAGACCTGCGCAAGGGCGTGGGGCTCTCCAACACCAAGGCGGTGAAGCAGACCAAGATCATGCCCAAGAGGGTGCTGCGCTTGGTGGCCAAGGGCCGCGGCTTCCTGGACAACGTCACCATCTCGGCCACGGCCCACATGGCCGCCTTCTTCGCCGCCAGCCGCTGGCTGCTGCGCAACCAGGACGAGCGCGGCGGCTGGCCCATCATGGTCACCAGGAAGCTGGGGGAAGGCTTCAAATCCCTGGATCCGGGCTGGTACTCGGCCATGGCGCAGGGCCAGGCCATGTCCACGCTGGTCAGGGCCTACCAGCTGACCAAGGAGCCGGCGTTCCTGGGCGCGGCGCTGCGGGCCACGGCGCCCTTCAAGCTGCCGGCGGAGCAGCGCGGCGTCAAGGCGGTGTTCATGAACCGGCACGACTGGTACGAGGAGTACCCCACCACGCCCAGCTCCTTCGTGCTCAACGGCTTCATGTACTCCCTGATCGGCCTCTACGACCTGAAGGAGACGGCCGGGGAGAAGCTGGGCAAGGAGGCGCGGCTGCTCTACGAGCGCGGCATGGAGTCGCTCAAGGCCATGCTGCCGCTCTTTGACACCGGCTCGGGCACCATCTACGACCTGCGGCACTTCATGCTGGGCACGGCGCCCAACCTGGCGCGCTGGGACTACCACACCACGCACATCAACCAGCTGCAGCTGCTGGGCTCCATCGACGACGCGCCCGTCTTCAAGGAGTTCGTCAAGAGGTGGAAGAGTTACCTGCGGGGAGGGCGGGCCAAGCACAACTGAGCTCCTCCCCGTCCTTGCCGCGGTTCCGACGGGTCCTTCCCAAAATTTTGGGCCTTAAAACTGCTCCGGGGAGGGTTTGGGATCGGGACGCTCTCTCCCACGTTGAGGTTGGGTTTTGTTGGGATTGGTTTTTCCTTTTCCAGGGAAAACGTTTGCAGAAGCCATAGAAGTCTTGGAAGCGCGGTCGCTGCCTGGAGAGCTCGTCCAGGGCCTCTTGAACCGGGATTTTGTGTCCGTGTTGGAGCAGCTCCCGTGGGATGAGCGCCGTCCACGGGAATCACTCGGAGCCTGGGAGTGCAAAGCGTGCTTTAAAGTGGGGGGGGGTTTCCTAGGGATTCGCTTTTTTGGGATGGAAAATCCGCAGTTGGAATCTTTTGCCAGTTCTCTGCCTGGAGGTCCTGGAGCTGGAGGGTTTCTTCATGGAAAACACGTGCCCGGCATCATGGAAGCACAACTGGGAGCCTGGAGCACACAGCCCTGGGCCACCAGCACCCGTGTCCCCTCGGAGCTGGGATCCCTTATCCCGGTGTCCCCTCGGAACTGGGATCCCTTATCCTGGTGTCCCCTCGGAGCTGGGATCCCTTATCCCGGTCACTGGAATTCCCTCAGAGCTGGGATCCTTATCCCTGTCACCAGTGTCCCCTCAGAGCTGGGATCCTTTTTCCTGGAGCTCTGTGTTTTGTGTGGGATATTGGATATCCCTGTGTTTTCTATGGGATTTTGGAATTCCATCTGGGAGGTTCCTCAGAGCTTTGGGGGTGTTTTTGAGAATTGCTGAGCGGGACATGGAGCTCATCCAGAGTTCCTCAGGAAATTCAAGAATTTGGGAATTTTCATTTTTCTCCTGCTCCAGCTCATCCAGCATTGTAACAGTTCCATCCCAGAGGTTTTCCAGCTCTCCCTGGGATGGAATTCCCAGGGGAGCTGTAGCTGCCTCTGGATCCCTGGAATGTCCAAGGCCAGCTTGGAGCAGCCTGGGACAGTGGAAGGTCCCTGTGGAATGGGATGAGCTTTAAGGTCCTTCCCACCCAACCATTCCATGATTCCATGATCCCACCGGCTGCCTGATCCTGAAATTGAGGATGGACTTTGGGAATTTCCACTGCTCCCATTCCATGGTGGAGCTGATCCCAGTCCCAAAATCCCGGGCACAAGGACAACACCCATCTCCATCTTTTTATTGCTTTCATTTTTTGAGACTTTTCCTTCATTTCTCACTGATCCTGGAGTGAATTTTTCCCAGCTTTAATCTGCATGCTCTGGTCAGATCCACCCATCCAATGGATGGCAGAGGAGAAATTCCAATACCAAAGGTAGCAGAGGGGAATTTTCTCCATGCCCGTGGAAACCCAGCAGACACAAACCCACCCCAAACCCGGGATTTCTTCCCAAAAATCCGCTCCATCCTCCCCTGACGTGTTCCTTCCATCTTTTTCCCAGTTGGAAAACCCAGAGAGCCTCCTTGGGTGCTGCTCCAGGATGGTGTTGGTGCCTTGCAGAGGCCGGAATTCCTCTTGGTTGAGTTTTTGGGAATTGATGCTGATGGTGGGGTTGGAATGTGGCCGATTTCTCCACTCTGGAAGTGCAGGATGGGCATTCCAAGGTTGTTCCTCCTGTTCCACCTCTTGTCCTTCCATCTGGTGGCCCTAGACAGGTGGAGCTTCCAGGAATCCCCAGAGGCTGTAAATCCATGGAGAATCCATGGGGATACTCCTGGTATTCCTTAAATTCTGTTGTGCATTGGAAGAGGATCCTTGGCCATGCCGGCAGTGCCCAAAACTTCATGGAATTCATTCCAATTTGGGATCTTTTCCTTCATTTTCCATCTTCAAGCTCCCAAAGATCTTTGGGACCAAGATCAGCTTTGATCCCAAATTTTCCTGTGGGGATCCATTGGCTCTTCCCATGGGATCTTTTCTCCATGGATGCCGCTGGAAGTTTGGGATGGAGCATTCCAAGGTTGTGCCTCCTGTCCTTCCAGCACCTTCTGCTGGCCTTAGCACAGGTGGAGCTTCCAGGAATCCCCACTAGAGGCTGCAATTCCATGGAGAATTCCTGATATTCCTTAAATTGTGCATTGGAGGAGGACCCTTGGCCACGGAACCAATCCCCAGAACTTCTTGGAATTCATTCCAGTTTAGGATTTCTTTGTTCATTTCCACCTTCAAACTCCCAGAGATCTTTGGGACCCGGATCAGCTCCAATCCCAGATCTTCACCCGGAGATCCATTGGCTCTTCCCATGGGATCCCCTCTCCGTGGCTCCCCCACCCCAACAGCACAAGCACAACTCCCCCTGGGATCCAGGAATTCCCTGGGATCTGAGCATTCCCTGGAATCCGGCATTCCCTGGAATCCGGCATTCCCTGGGATCTGGGTGTTCCCTGGAATCCTGCATTCCCTGGAATCTGGCATTCCCTCGGATCTGGCATTCCCTGGGATCCTGAATTCCCTGGAAGCCGCTCATTCCCGTTCTCCTCCTCCCCGGGCGTGGCTTGGCTGGGATTTTGTTGGATTTCCCGGGATTTTCCCGAGGATCCCGATGGAAAATATGCAATAATTTGTTTACAGGATGCTCCGGGCTGGGCGCTCCTTTAAGCACAATGTGCACAGGATAGTTTTGTATTCCGCCCCTCCGGAATTTTTGGCGGGAAGAGGTTCTCCTACGTTTCTATGGGACATTGGGAATGCTTGGAAAGCTTTCTAAGACTGGGAAATAAATTTTTTTATCTTAAGGGAAAAAAAAAAAACAAACCTTGGGATGTTTTGCTTATTTGGGGATTTTCCAGGTATTTTATTTTCCAGATGTATTCCAAGATTTTTCCTGTGGTGGCTTTGAGGTGTCGTGGTTTTAAGGAGGTTTTCTTCTGGAAAATGTGGATTTTTTCCTATTAATTAAGGGTTTGGTGACTGAGGGAAGGAGCACAAGTGGTGGATTCCTGCTGGGAATTATTTTCCTGGTAAATCCAGCTCGTTTGGAATTTTTTGGGAATTGTTAAATGAGGATTTTAACGGAGAGGTCACTAAAAATATCCCAGTGTCGGGAATGGGGAAATGCAGCTCCAGGGAATCCCAGAGCCCCTTCCAGGAATCATGGGAGAACTGGAGAGGGATTGGGATCAGGGAGGGAGGGGCAGGACGCAGGGAATGGCTGGAAAAATGGAGATTTAGATGGATCTTGGGAAGGAATTCCCAGCTGGGATGGAGTTCCCAGAGCAGCTGTGGCTGCCCCTGGATCCTGGGGCAGTTGGAGGTGTCCCTGCCCATCCCACCCAAAATATTCTGGGAATCTCCCGAGTGATTCCCATTCCTTGGCATGCTGGGATTGAAAAGAGCCTTGGAGCATCCCTGAAAGTGGGAACAGAATTCCAGAGCCGCAGGAATGTCCAGGGAAAAGCTGCGTCCCAGTGCTGGCAGGAAAGGGTTAATTCCCTGGAGTTCCCAGGACTTTCCTGTGGGATTGAAGTTCGGGATAGAGCTGGGGATCCACCAGCCCTGCCCGGTTCTGCTTCTCCCAATTCCTGAATAACTAAGGGACAATAATTAATAATTAATTAATAATTAACTGCGCCCGCTCATCCCTGTCCATCCCGCTGGAATCTCCCGCTCTCCAAACTTTGGGAAGGCCGTTCCCACTGGAACACAGCAGGAAAAGCAGCGGATTTTTGGGAAGCAGAAGGGGAAACTCACCGTTTGGCTGGGATTCATCCCCATCCAGCCGGGAATAATCCGGGAATGAGGAGCCGCGGGAGGGCTGGAACTGCCGGGCTGCTCTGCGGGCGCTCCGGGAGTTTTCCAGCGGGAGATGCTCGGCAGGGCTGGGAATTTTTATTTTTTCCTGCTTTTTTTCCACTTCCTCGTGGCTGGCTCCCATCCCGGCCGCGTTTGGCCGCGCTGATTTCCGGGTTTATCTGGGAACCTTTTTTTCCTTGGACGAGCCAGGGTTCATTCTCTCCCAAATCCTGGGAATTGCCGGCTCCGGGATCATCCCTGGCGGGATCGTGCCTCCGGAGCAGCCGCGCCCGCCCGGCCGGCCGGGAATTCCATGTGGGCAGTGTTTGTTCCCAGTGAGTAATCCCGGGATTCGGAGGCAGCGCTGGAAAACGCCGCATCCAGCGGCGGCTCCGAGCAGCGCCGTAAGTCCCGGCTTGTCCCCCGCTCCGGCATTCCCAGCTTTTCCCGAGGGTCGGCTCACGGGAAATTCGGGAATGCGGCAATGGGAATGGGAATGGGGATGGGGATGGGAATGGGGATGGCAAAAGCGCCGGGGCAGCGGGAGCATTCCCGGCCCTCCCGGTGCGGGGATCGCGGAATTCCCGGCAAGTTTCACCCGGGAGCGGGATGGGGTCGGGATCCCGCGGGGAGGACGGGTGGGAGCGGCGGGTTCCCGGCGTGGAAAAGCGGCTGCTGCTGCTCCCGGCGAATTCCAGCGGCAGCGACGACAACAACAACTCCCACAAAGCCGCCCTTGTCCCGCCGGGAGCGCTCCTGGCACGGCCCGCGCCGCTCCCGGAGTTTTCCAGCGCTGCTCCCGCTTGGAACGCTCGGGAATTCCCGAATATTCCCGGCCCGTGGAAAAGCGCCGCACGGAGCGAGGGATGTGCCAGGGAGAGCCGTGCCGGGGGATGGTGGGATCTGCCATGGGGGAGGGATGGGGATGTTCCATAGGGAAAGGAGATTCCATAGGGAGGGACGTGCTGTGGGGAGGGATAAGGAAAGGAAAGGAAAGGAAAGGAAAGGAAAGGAAAGGAAAGGAGAGAATGTGCCATGGGAGCTGTGCCATGGCAGAGGACGGTGACAAGGTGACAGGGCCGGGCTCCCGGCGGTGGTGCCGGGTGGGGACAGCGGTGCCAGGTGGGGACATTGCTGGGCTGAGCCGGGAGCTCCCGGGCCAGAGCAGCTGCGGCTGCAGGGCCGGGACAGCCCCGAGAGGGTCGGGTGGGACTGCGGGGAACCGGGGGAGGGAGAGGAGGAGGAGGAGGAGGAAATTAAGGAGGAGGAGGAAGAAGAAGAGGAGGAGGAGGAGGAGGAGGAAGAGGAGCTGTTGCAGCCACCTGAGCGAAGCCGCAGCGCTGGCAGAGGTGACTCGCAGGGGTCACAGCCCCGCCATGCCCCCATCGCATTCCCATTCCCATTCCCGGCTGGGAAGAGCCCGAGCAGGAGGAGGAGGAGGAGCGGGAGGAAGCAGGCCCGGCTCGGCCCGGCTCGTCCCGGCCCGCAGGGTGTGCCCGGCCCCAGTGAGTCACTGTGCTCGCTGCCCTCGTTGTGCTCCCAAACCACAAATTCCTGCCTGAGGCCGGGCCTGGAGCCTCCTCCTGCTTCCCACAGGGAACGGGGAATGGGGACAGGGAATGAGGGACAGGGAACAGGAACAGGGACCAGGGAATGGGGACAGGGAACAGGGAACAGGGACAGGGAATGGGGAACAGGGAACTGGGAGCAGGGACAGGGAATAGGGAACAGGGAATAGGGAACAAGGAACAGGGAACAAGGAACAGGGAATAGGAACAGGGAACAGGGAAGGGATCCCTGCCACAGGAATGTCTGGGTCGGGATGGATCCAGGTGCTCCCAGCTCAGGGATCCCATCCAGGGGCTCTGGGCACTGGGGGATCCTGCACCTGGGAGGAGCCTCTGGAAGGGCTCATTCCTTTGTCTTCTGAGAATCCCAGAATTCCAGAATTCCAGGTCGGAAGGGCCCTTAAAACCCATTCCAGCCCCGGCCATTGCAGGGACCCTTCTATGAACAGATTCCAGCCTGGCCTTGGGCAGTGCCAGGGATCCAGGGGCAGCCACAGCTGCTCTGGGAATTCCATCCCTGCCCCTCTCCACCCTCCCAGGGAACAATCCCCAAATTCCAATCTCCCATCCAGCCCTGCCTTCTGGCACTGGGAGTCATTCCCTGTGTCCTGTCCCTCCATCCCTTGTCCCCAGTCCCTCTCCAGCTCTCCTGGAGCCCCTTCAGGCCCTGAGCTCTCCCTGGATTCAGGTCCCGTTTCCACCATGGAAAACCACAGGAATTCTGTGGGATCCATGAGGCAGCACCTCAGTACTTCCAGAGCCCCGGGCAGCATTTGATTCCCCATTCCCAATTCTCCATTCCCGTCTAATCTTTAACCAGAGGCGTTTCCTGCGGGGTTTTGTTGGTTCATTGCTCTCCTGCCTCATTAATTTTTCCCTCCCTCTCCAGCCGTTCCCGGTGTCCCAGGGCTTTTCCTGGAGCTGCCTCACCCCGGAGCTGGCAGAGGTAGGGCTGGGATGGGAGGGAATCCCAGAACTCCAGGGCTAGGAAAAGGGTTCTTTGGGAATGGCTCTGTGGCACATCCAAGGGCTGGATCCCGCTGGGAACCTGGGATGGCTGGAGCAGCTGGAATGGCAGCCCAGGGTGCTGCAGAGGCTCCGGGCGCTCTCGGGATCCCGGGAATCCAGAACTCGGATTCCTCTGGATCCTGGTGGGATGGAGCTGAGGCAGTGCCTGGAGCAGGAGCTCCCTTCCCACTTGTCCTGCTCCGGGCAGGCGGGAAAGAGGGATCATGGAGTTTTCCCTTGATTTCCCAGAGTGCCAGCACCAGGATCGGGTAAGAGCCTGAGCTGGGATATTCCATGGTAGCAGGAAAAGGGATCCAGCTGGGATCCAGTGTCCCTCCCTCTTCCTGAGGGACCTTCTTGCATCCAGGGATCCCGAGGTGATCCCAAGGTGATCCCACGTCCCTCTGGATCTGTTGGAATTCCCGTCCCTCTGGGAAGTGGGATCGGCCTTGTCCCGCTGCTCCCTTGGGATCCCAGCACCCCTCGGGATGGGTGCTCCCCATCCTGCTGGGATACAATTCCCTGTGGGATTTGGGATTTGGGATTGGACCCCATGGTGCATCCCGGGAATTCTCATCCCCTCCAGGCCGTCCTGATCTCGGGATCCTCACAGGAGCAGCGCCATTCCTGCAGGATGCAGCCGGGAGGGATTTGAGGCGCCGTCCCCGTGGAATCTGAGCTGGAAAATCCCGGGAATTCCATCCAGAGCCGGCCATGCCCAGCCCCACGGCCCGGCTGCTCCGCGCCCACCAGGTGCCCGAGGTCAGCAGGAATTCCCTCCCTGATCCCAGGATCAGTGGGATTTGAGATCGGCAGTGGGGTCACCCCAAGGGAGCCACAGCTGTGTCTCGACTCCGGAATTTTGGGGGATGCTCCCCATCCTTTTCTATTCCCATTCCCATCCTCAATTCCAATTCCCATTATTCTCATTCCTGTCCCTGTTCCCATTTCCATTCCCATTCCCATCTCCAATTCCCTTTCCCATTCCCAATATTCCCATTCCCCTCCCTGTGCCTGTTCCCATTTCCATTCCCATTCCCACCCCCATCCCCAGTTCCCATTATTCCCATTCCCATCCCTGTCCCTATTCCCGTTCCCTATTCCCAACCTCATTCCCTTCATTCCCATCCCCATTCCCATTATTCCTATCCTCAGTCCCATTCCCATTATTCCCGTTATTCTCGTTGTTCCCGTTATTCCCATTATCCCCATCATTCCCATTATTCCCAGAGCTACCGGGAGCCGGGAATCCTGTCCGGGTACCGCCCTCCCCAGAGCTCGCCCTGTGAGTGCCTGCTCAGCCTCTTCGGGATGAACAACGAGACCCTCAACATCTGGACACATCTGGTGCCCGCCGGGTGAGTGCCCGCAGCCCTGGCACACCTGAACACACCTGGGGATGCCCCCTAACACCTGGGCACACCTGGGGGTGCCCGCATCCCCTGGGCACACCTGTGGGGCCCCTCAACACCTGTACACACCTGGGCACACGTGGTGGGTGCCCCTTAAGACCTGGGCACACCTGAGGGTGCTCCTTAACATCTGGGCACACCTGGACACACTTGGGCCCATCTAGTGGGTAACCCTTAACCCCTGGGCACCCCTGGGCACCTCTGGACACACCTGGGGGTGCCCTCAGCCCCTGAATACCCCTGGGCACGCCCAGGCACATCTAGTGGGTAACCCTTAACATCTGGACACACCTGGGCACCACATAGCACACCTGGGCACACCTGGGCATTCCTGGACACATCTAGTGTGTAACCCTTAACACCTGGGCACACCTGGGCACCCCTGGGCACACCTGGGCACCCTTGGGCACGCTTGGGCACATCTAGTGGGTAGCCCTTAACACCTGGACACACTTGGCACACCTGGCACACCCCTGGGCACCTCTGGCGCACACCTCTTGCCCACCTCCTGAGTGCCAGCACTGACCCCCCTCTCCCCGGCCCATTCCCAGGTATTTCCTGTGGCTGCTGCTGTCCCGGCTGGGCAGCCCGGGCTCGGAGGCCGGGGCGGGGCCGTTCCTGGCCTACCTGGGCACGTGCGCCCTGTACCCGCTGGCCTCGAGCGCCGCGCACGCCCTGGGCGCGCTGGGCGGGCACGGGCGGCACCGCGCCTACTGCTGCGACTACGCCGCGCTCAGCCTCTACAGACTGGGTCAGCGGGGTGGGGATGGGGATCGGGGCGTTTGTGGGGTCTGGGGAATGCCAGGGGGTCTGCGGGGTTTGGGGAATGCTGGGGGGGATTGATGGGATGCGGGAAATCTGAGGGAATTTATGGTATTTCGGAGTTCCAGGGGGATTGATGGGATTTGGGGATTATGGGGCGATGGATGGGGTTTGGGAAATTCTGGGGGGATTTATGGGATTGGGGAAATCTGGGGGGTTTGTGGGATTTGGGGAATGCCAGGGGGGAATTTATGGGATTTGGGAATTCCAGGGGTTTGTGGGATTTGGGGGATTCCGGGGGGGAATTTATGGGATTTGGGGATTCTGTGGGGTTTATGGGATGTGGGAAATATGGGGGGATTTATGGGATGTGGGGAAATGTCGGGGGGATTGATGGGATTTCGGAGTTCCAGGGGGGTTGATGGAATTTGGGGATTATGGGGGGATGGATGGGGTTTGGGAATTCTGGGGGGATTTATGGGATTGGGGAAATTTGGGGGATTTGTGGGATTTGGGGAATGCCAGGGGGCTGCATGGGATTTGGGAATTCCGGGGGGATTGATGGGATTTGGGAAATGCCGGGGGATTGATGGGATTTGAGGAATTCCGGGGAGTTTATGGGATTTGGGGAGTGCTGGGGGGTCTGTGGGATGCAGGAGCTCCAGGGAGATGGATGGGATGTGGGGATCCTGGGGGGGTTTGTGGGATTTGGGAAATCTGGGGGTTTATGGGATTTGGGGATTATGAGGGGATAGATGGGACTTGGGAATTCCAGGAGGGATGGATGGGATTTGGGAGTTCTGGGGATATTTATGGGATTCAGGAATTCCAGGGAAGATTTTTGAGATTTCGGGAATTTGGGAGGTCAGGAGGAGCTGGCAGAGCCTGGATTTATGGGAGTTTGGGAATTTAGACTGGATCTGTAGGATTTTGGGAATTCCAGGGGACAGGTGAGCCAGTTTTATGGGAATTTGGGGATTTATCCCAGATTTATGGGATTTCTGAAATTTGGGAGCACAGGATGAGCTGGGATAGCCCAGATTTCAGCAGTTCAGGAATTTAACTCAGATTTATGGAATTTCAGGAATTTGGGGGGTCGGGAGGAGCTAGGATAGGTCAAATTTACAGGATTTGGTGAATTTAGCCTGGATTTATGGGACACCACATCCAGAGGGGAGGTTTGAGGTTTGGGGGAAATTCCTTCTCCTCCTTTTCCTCATCCCTGCACTCTGGAGCTCGGGAATGGCCTGGAGCAGCTCCGGCCACAAATAATTTGGAATCATAACCCTCAGAATTGGGATTTGGAATAACAGGAAAAATTTGGAATAACAGGAAAAATCCCAGATTTTACCCAGCTGGAGGAGCCTAACTGGGAGCACGAGGCAATTCCAGGATATTCCCACAGCCCTCCAGCCCCTCTGGAATGCTGCCTGCTCTAGAGATTCCCGGCCCTTCCCGATGTTCCGTCCCGGAGCTCAGAGCTGAGCCCAGGAGGAGGAGGAGGAGGAGGAGGAGGAGGAAGGGAATTCCAGGGGAATTCCAGGGAATTCCAGGATTTGGAGCTGATGGCCCCGCTATGCTTCCAGGCTCGGCGCTGGCCTATTCCGCCTACGTCTTCCCTCTGGAATGGGTCGGGAGCACATTCCATGATTTCTACGTTCCCGTGGCCGTGCTCAACTCCGTGCTCAGCACTGGCCTGTCCTGCTATTCCAGGTGGGATCCAGTGGGAATTCGGGATGAGGGGTTTCCTCACGGGCTGGGCCAGACTGGAGGTGGGGAAGGGGAGAGAGGGAATTTTTCCGTTGGGAAATGAGGAGAATTCGATTATGAAAATGTGGGATAATGGGAGGAGTTTCAATTTTTGGGATGTTCCAAAGGGGATTTGTGGAATCCTGGAATGGTTTGGGTTGGGAGGGAACTTGGAGATGATCCAGGTCTGCTATCCCAGGGAAGATATCCCAGAGTCCGCTATCCTGGAGAAGCTGTGGAATTCCCTGAGTATCCCATGTAGAATTCCTGGTGTTCTCTGGTATATCCCGTGTGGAATTCACTGTATATTCCATTTGGAATTCCTAGTGTATCCCATGTGGAATTCCCTGTGTATTCCATGTGGAATTCCCTGTGTTTCCCATGTGGAATTCCCTGTGTATCCCATGTGGAATTCCCAGTGTTTCCTCATGTATTCCATGTGGAATTCCCTGTGTATCCCATGTGGAATTCCCAGTGTTTCCTCATGTATTCCATGTGGAATTCCCTGTGTTTCCCATATGGAATTCCCTGTGTATCCCAGTGTATCCCACACAGAATTCCCGGTGTTTCCCAGGTTTCTGGAGGCGGAGCGGCCCCGCCTGAGCAAAGCCTTCCGAACTTTGGCCTTCGTGTATCCCTACATTTTCGACAGCATCCCCGTTTTCTACAGGGTGCGTATCCCACAAAATCCTGGGAAATTTCAGCTGCCTCAGGCTGGAATTCTTTGGGAAAACAGGCCCAGCTCGGGGTTTGAAAGGCAAACAAACTCCAGCAGGAAAAGGCCCTGGGATATTTTTTCCTGCTCTCATTGCCGGTGAATTCTTCCCACTTCAAAGGGTTGGAAAATTCCTGCCTTGGGAAGCTGGGAGGGGCCTTTTCCAGGGATTAAACTGGAGCAGGGTGGGAATTTGGGCTGGCAGGAATGGAGGGGATGGGAGTGGGGAACTGGGAATGGCTCCTTGGGATTGGCGGATCAATCCTTCTTTTTTCTGGGAAGCAGGGTTGGAGTGGGTCTGAGGGGAGTGGGGAACTGGGAATGGCTGTTGCCCCTTTGGGATGGATGGATGGATGGATGGATGGATGGATGGATGGACGGATGATGGATGGATTAATGGATTAATGGATAGATGGAGGGATTCATGGGTGGATGAATTCATGGATGGATTGAAGGAAAGATTAATGGATGAATTGAAGGATTAATGGATGGATTAATGAACGGATGGATGGAATGGATTGAAGGATGATGGATGGATTGAAGGATTCACAGATGGATGGATGGATGGACTGAAGGATTCATGGATGCATGGATGGAGAGAAGGATGAATTGAAGGATTTATGCATGGATTGAAGGATGGATGGATTGAAGGATTCATGGATGGAGGGATGGATGGATGGATGGATGGATGGATTCATGGATTCATGGATGGATGGATGGATCACTCCCGTTTTTGCCGGCAGCTCTCCTGGAGCTGCTCTGAGGCCTCGCTCCCGCTGCATTCCCGGCACAGCCTCTGCGCCCTCCTCACCTTCCTGAGCTTCACCTCCCACCTGCCTGAGCGCCTGGCACCGGGGAGCTTCGACTTCATCGGTGAGCATTGCTGGGAATGCCGGGAATAAACCCTGGGAATGCCGGGAATGAACCCCGTGAATGCCGGGAATAACCCCACAGGATACCAGGAATAAATTCCCTGGAGCCACAGACATTGGGAATAGGAATTACAGGGAGGATAAAACCCCAGGAATTGGGAATAGGAGTTTGTAGGATGGTAAAACTCCAGCAATCAGGAGCAGGAATTTGTGGGATAAATATTCCACGGATGCCAGGTGAAGCGGGCTGAGCACGATTCAGTCCTGGAATCGTGGAATTCCGGGGTGTTTTGGATGGGCAGGGACACCTCCCACTCTCCCAGAGCGCTCCAAGCCCCCGGATCATTCTGGGGACGTGGAACCCACCTGGCCCAGCCGAACGCCCCTGGAATTTCCGTGGAATTTCCATGGAATCCTCAAGGGCTTTCTGTCGCAGGGCACAGCCACCAGGTTTTCCACGTCTGCGGGATCCTGGGAACGCTCTTCCAGCTGGAAGCCGTCTCCGTGGACATGGCGGAGCGGCGGGGCCGCCTCCCGCTGCCCTCTGCCCTGCAAACCTTTGGGTCCCTGGGGATGGGGGCGGCCGCCAGCCTGGCCATCCTCGGGCTCTGCTTCCGCAGCCTCCGCCCGGAGCCTCCTCCCCGGGAAAAATCCCACTAGAGCAGGGATTGCCTCGGGTTTCCGGGAGCAGTCCCATCCCAGAGGTGTCCACTGGGGAATTGGATTGCCTGGAAATATTTATTTGGGAATTTCCCTAGGGAAAACTGCGCTGGTTTTATCCGGGGATGGGCTGGGAAATGCTTCCCATCCCGTTGTTATCCACAGGGAAAGCGTCAAATAATCGGGATTTGATCCCTGGAAAGGGAGGGAAGCGTTCCTGCTTCCCAAAGAATCCGGGATCCCTCAGGTCTGATCCAGGGAATGTTGGCATCACCAGCTGGGAGATCTCTGGTGAAGCCAAGCACTCCCTAATTCCCATTTTCCCCTTGGAAGTGGAAATCCTTTGGAATTCCAAGCCTTGCACTCAGCCCAAGTGCCTGGAAAGGTGGGATGGGGCGACTGGAGTTGTTTCCCTCCCAGTTTAATTCCCACTGTTTTTACTCTTTATCCAGTAAAAGGGATTCCAGGAGAGCCCCAGTGGGATGTTCCTGCAGGAAAGCTCTGCCAGGGTCTCATTCCAGGAAATCCTGGGACATTCATTGCTGTGGGAATTCTGAGTTTCCTCAGGGGGAGGATGGAATTAAGGAATTAGGAATTAAAGAATTAGGAATTAAGGAATTCCATCCTGGATCCTGGGATTTGTGGTGGGAGATGTGAGAGCTCCACGTCCCAACCTCCCGGGATTTGAGATCCTTTAGGAAAAGGTTTGAATGTTTTGGGATTGGGATCCGTGGGGAGATGCCAGGAGGAAAGCAGGATTTGGGACAGCTCAAAGGTTAAAAGCAGCCTGGAATTTTAAAGAATTCCCAGGATTTTCCCTCTGCTGTTCCTTGTTTTCCTTTCCTGCTGTTCCTGGATTTTGGAGGAGGAGCCTGGAGCTCCAGGCTTTCCCAGGATCCAGGTTTTCCTCTTGGATTTTCCTGTGGGAATGCAGCACACACTTTATTCTTTGGGAATATTTTCCTGGATAATCCCACGGGTCTTCCATTAATTTCCTTTAATTGCCTTTGCCAAGGTCTGACTGCTGCACTTTGGGAGCTGCTGGAATTTGGGGTATCACAGTAAAATCTGGGATGAACGGGTTAAATACGGGATAAATCAATCCTTGGGAACGCTGAGCGGGATTTTTGGGGTATTTATAAGCACTGGAATTGTTTTTCCAAAGGTTTTATTAAATTAATATAAATCACTGATTTTATTCTGCTTAATAATAAAAATATTCCTGAGAAAACTAATTCCTTTGGAGATCATTGCTGATAATTCCAGAGTTTATTTACTTTGGGAGCTGCTGTGACCGGGGAGGAATCCAGCTGGGATTGGAGAGCCCGGAAAAACATCGGGAATCATCCCAGGATTATTCCAGGTCATTCAACTTTTGAACTGAAATTCTCCCGTCCTCTCCAGTGCTGGGAAATTTGGGAAAACTGCATTCCAAAGGGGATGGAATGCCAGAATTCCACGGGATCCGCTGGCTGAACCCATGGAATGGGTGATGCTGGATCTTGGAGCGGCACAGGGAGAGGATTTTTCCTGCGTTTTACCAAAAAATCTCTGGATTTTCCTCAATTACCTTTCCAGGAGAAATGAAAACTCCTTGTCCAGTCTTTCCAAGGAAATAAACAGGGATATTTATTTGTGGAATGTTGATCCACACCAAATGCCAAAGGAATTTGGGATGAAATTCCAGCAAACCTCCCTCATCCCTCCTAAGCCACGTGGAGGGATTTGGAAAAGCTGGAAAAAGGCAGGAATTTCAGGCTCCTCCAGGTGATTTTATCCCTTTTTTAAAAAAAATATCCTTGAAGTGCCTTGTGGAAACATTCAAGAATTTGGACTATAAATGGGAATTCCCTGGAATTTAAAAGGACTTGAATCCCTCTCCCCAGTTCCCCATTGGAATGCATTCCCTGGGAAGGGAGTTTGCTTTTCCCTGGACTTGTTCTGCTGGATTTTTCCCACATGTCCCAGCAGCACATTTCCACGGTTATTTTCCACCACGGATCATTTCCCACAGGTTGGGAATTAACTAATTTCCATCGGGTTGGGAATTAACTTGTTTCCTACAGGTTGGGAATTATTTCCAGCAGGTTGGGAATTAGTTAATTGCCAACAGATTGGGAATTCACTCATTTCCATTGGGTTGGGAATTAACTAATTTTCCACAGTTTGGGAATTATTTCCATTGGGATGGAAATTCACTCATTTTCCACAGATGGGGAATTCAGTCATTTCCATCGGGTTGGGAATTAACTGAGTGACTGATTCACCTCCAGGCAGGCACACAGGGAAGCCCTGGCCCTGCAAACGGTCTGTATTCCACCTGTTTTCCTGAAAGATTGAAATTAAGTGGATAAAAAGGGAGGGAAAAACCGAGATCTGCCGGGGCCGGGATTCGAACCCGCGGCCTCCCCTCCACCACCGCCACCATCAGGGGGCGCCCGCGCCTCGGGCCGCGCCCCCTTTTCGCGTCACCATGGTGACGTGCCGTGCGTGACGACGTCACGGCGCCGTGCTCGCTGATTGGACAGATTTGAATCTCTCGGGCGCGCGGCCGCCGCCCGGTGCGAGCCCCGCAGCGCGAGCCCCGGGCCCTGTCGCGACAGCGGCGCCACCCGCGACATGAAGGCGGCGTGAGTGGCTCCGCAGCCCCGGGCGGGGAGGGGGGGACGGCCTGAGGGGGTCCCGGGGGGCGGCGGGGTCGCCCTCAGCTCCCTCTCGGTTCCTTCGCCATCCCGGTGCTCCCCCCGTCCCGGTGCTCCCCTGTCGCGCTTCTCCCGGTTCTCCCCTCCCTTGCCCGCTCCTCCCGTCCTCTCGGCTGTCTCCCCTCTCCCCCTCCCCGCTGCCGATTCCCAGTGCCGCCGTTCCCGGTGCGGCCGTTCCCGGTTTCCCCGTTCCTGCCGTTCCCGGTTCCCCGTTCGGGCCGTTCCCGGTCCCCTGACGCTATCTCCCCTCAGTAGGGCCAGGACGCCGCGGAGGCCGAGGAAAGCCACGAACCCCACGCAGAAGGACCCGGTGGGGGTGAGTGCCGGGCCCATCCCGAGCTCCCCCTTCCCGCCCCGCCGGATTCCCGGCTTTATCCCGGAATCATTCCTGGTTTATCCCGGTTCCCGCTCATTCCCACCTCTCATTCCAGCTGTACTGCCGCGTTTATCCCTGTTTTATCCAATCCCAGCTTCATTGCCTGCTCTATTCTCGGTTTATCCCTGTTTCCCTCATTCCCACCTCTCATTCCAGCTGTACTGCCGGTTTATTCCTGGGTTTATCCCCGTTTCCCAATCCCAGGTTCATTCCCACATTTATTCCCTGTTTCCCAAGCCCAAATTCATTCCCAGATTTATTCCCGGTTTATCCCTGATTCCAATCCCAGCTGTATTGCCAGGTTAATTCCCAGGTTTATTCCCGGTTTATCCCCGTTTCCCTCACTCCAGGTTCATTCCCGGGTTTATCCCTGTTTTCCAGTGCCAGCTGTACTGCAGGGTTCATTCCCAGGTTTTTTCCCAGTTTATCTCTGTTTCCATCATTTTCAGATTCATTACCGGCGTTTCCCCCCATCCCAGGTGTACTGCCCTGTCTATTCCCGGTCCGTTCCCGTTCATTCCCGATTTTCCCCCCATTCCCAGGTGCACTGCCCGGTCCGTTCCCGGTTCATTCCCGTTCATTCCCGGCTTTTCCCCCCCCATCCCAGGTGCACTGCCCGGTCCGTTCCCGGTTCATTCCCGATTCATTCCTGGTCCATTCCCGGTTTCCCCCCATTCCCAGCTGTACTGCCCAGTCCATTCCCAGTTCATTCCCGTTCATTCCCGGTTTTTTCCCCCATTCCCAGGTGTACTGCCGCGTGCGGCCGCTCAGCCGTGCGGACCAGGAGTGCTGCATCGAGGTGATCAACGGCACCACGGTGCAGATCCACCCTCCCGAGGGCTACCGCGTGTTCCGCAATGGCGAGTACCGCGAGGTAACGGGATTCCCGCCTGGAATTCGCCTGGAATTCCTGCCCCCGCCCCTGGAGGTGTCCTGGAGCAGCGGGAAGTGTCCCTGCCCTTGGCAGTGGGGTTGGCTTTGAGGTCCCTTCCCACCCAGAGTTCTGGAATTCCATGAATTCCATCCAGCTCACGCTCTCCAAGCTTTCCCGTGATTTGTGGCACTTGCAGAGTGCAAAATCCAAAAGTTTTCCACCCAAAACCCATCTAGGACAAAAAAACCTCATCACTTCCTGATCTGTCAAATAGAGCCTTAAAGCTCATCCCATTCCATGGGAATCCAGCATTCCAGATTGATCCAACCTGGCCTTGGACACTCCAGGGAAAAGGAATCCACAGCTTTTCCGGGTGGGAATCTTAGCTGGGATGTGGAATATTTTGTTTCCAAGTTCAGCTGGAAGATTCCAATGGGAAGGGCATTAAGGGGTCTTCAAAGGTTTAAATAAAACAGGGAAAGCCTTATTAATGAAATGTTAATTTAATTAAACGAGGTTTTGTTCAGAAATTTGGAATTCAGCTATTTCCCTAAGGAAGAGTTTTGGTGGGAAAATGACCGTCAAAAATTAAAATTAGTTTAAAATTTTATTAAAATAATTCATTAAAAAATAAAAACATTTTGAAATTTAGGACAAGTAAAATTTATTTTAAAATTAAAATAACTTATTAATTTAAATAATGAATTAAAAACTAAATTAAAATTAATTTAAATTTAAAATTAAAATAATTCATTAAAAAAATAAAACCAGCTTGAAATTCAAGACTGAGAACTGAGGCTGGACTGGAAAAAGATCCAAAATAAACAAAATTCCATGAGGGAACAGCTCCATTTTGGCCATGGTGGATGTTCCTTTGCTTGGATTCTGGGAATTTCTGAAAGGAAATTCCAGTTTTTAGCTGTCCTTTGGGGATTCTCTGCTCCATGGGATCCCTCTGGCTACTCCAGGCTGTGGGGCTGGAATTCCAGGGTGGTTTTCCCTCTCTTGGCAGACCCAGTATTCCTTCAAGGAGGTGTTTGGCACGCTGGTGGCACAGAAGGAGCTCTTTGACGTGGTGGCCAAGCCTCTGGTGGAGGATCTGATCCGAGGCAAGAACGGTGAGCAGAGCTCCTCTCCTGTGGCCCCATTCCCAGGATTTCAGGGTTCCTGAAATTTGGTTGGAACTGTGGCTCAGCTCCTCACTCCACACCTCTGGAGGCTCTTTCTGGAATGGGAATATTGGGATGGTTTGGTGGGAATGGATGATCCAGGGTTCCTGAGGTTTGGTTGGAATCGTAGCTCAGCTCCTCACACAGAGATTGCACTTTTCTTCCCTTGAAAAAATGAAGGAAAAATTGGGAAAAAAAAGGTAAATATTTAATTAATTAGGTAATTGTATCTAGCTGAAATTCCCAATCTGTTCCTGCTGTTCTAACAAGAGATTTCAGCTTGGAATTCCCTTGGAAGCTCTTTCTGGATAGGAATCCTGGGATGGTTTGGGTGGGAATGGATGATGCAGTGCTCCCAAGGTTTGTTTGGAATTGTGGCTCCTCCCAGCATACTCCTGGAAGATCTTTCTGGATAGGAATGCTGGGATGGTTTGGGTGGGAATGGGTGATCCCGTGCCATGGAAGTGTTGTGGGAGCAGCCTGGCTTAGCAGGAGGTATCCCTGCCTTTGGCAATGGGATTGGCTTTAAGGTCCCTTCCCACCCAAAGCGTTCTGGAATTCCATGAATGATGCATCCAGATCCCTCTCCCTGCTCTCCCAAGTTTTCCCATGGCTTGTGGGAGTTGCAAGTTGTGCAATCAGCATTTTGGGCTTTTAGCAAAGTGCATTTTCAACTCCCAAAAAAGCCAACAAATGGCAAAAAAGCACCATCCAATCTATGGGAAGGGCATTAAAGCTCATCCCATTCCATGGGCAGGGAAACCTTCCAGTATCCCAGGGTGCTCCAAGCCCCATCCAGTCTGGAATATTCCAGGGATGGCACAGCTTGGAGAGGATGATGGATATTCCCAGCTATGACCACTTTGGATGGCGTGCAATATTTGAGGTGTGTTGTTTTTTTTTCCCAATCCCGTTGATTTCTCCCTTTTCCCTGCATTCCCAGGTTTGCTGTTCACCTATGGAGTGACGGGCAGTGGGAAGACCCACACCATGACAGGATCTCCTGGGGATGGGGGGCTCCTGCCCCGCTGCCTGGCCATGATCTTCAACAGCATCGGCCCCTTCCAGGCCAAGAGATTCGTGAGTGCCTCCCCACAGCCCCAAATCCATGGATTCCTGCTCCAAACCTGCCCCTGGAGGGCTTGGAAGAGGGAAAAAGCCCCACACCAGGGTCCTCGTTCCAAAAGGGTTTGGGTTTCTGGGAATGCATTTAAAGCATTCAGTGGTTTGGTGCTTATTGCCTAAGCCCATCCTTGGAAAAATCTGTTAAAAACACATGGGAAGGAATCCAGGCAGGAAGGTGTCAGTACTGATGGTCAAGGTGTTCCCTTCCTCATTAGGATGGGTGATTAATAAGCATACATTTAATTAATTAGGTGGTTATATCTCACTGAAATTCCCAATCTATTCCTGCTGTTCTAACAGGTGATTTCAACATGGAGGAAGCCATTCCATGGCTTTTTTCCCCTGGAAACAGTGGAAAACACCGGTTTGCTGCTCCATAGTTCCATATTATTCCGCTTCATTTCAGTATTTCCCATAAAACCAAAAATGAATTGTCTCCTCATGAAATCAGGGATATTTTTCCAAAGTCGTGCACTAGTGGTGCCTAAAATACACTGAAATAATCCTGGATTTCTCATCCTTGGGAGCTTTTCTAAAACATTATTTTGCAAATTGTTTCTCTCAGATCTTGCTGGGTCGAGTGCCAATGAGGGGCATGGTATTAATAAATTGATACCAGCCTAATCAGACTAATTAATGAACCAAATAACGCTTTGTTGGGCAGCACCTGGATGTTGGAATTGGCTGAAATTCCTGGTTTTTCCCTCAGGTTTTCAAGCTGGATGACAAGAACGGGGTGGATGTGCAGAGCGAGGTGGAGGCTCTGCTGGAACGTCAGAGGAGAGAGGCCCTGCCCACCCCAAAAACTCCAGCTGGGAAGTGAGTGACTCTGGGAATAGCAGAGGGAATTTATTCCCTGGAAATGGGGTTTAGCTTCTCTTGGGCTCTTCCCTTGAAAAAATTAAGGAAGAAAATGGGAAAAAATTGGCAGTTATTTAATTAATGAGATCATTTTATCCCACTGAAATTCCCAATCTATTCCTGTGGTTCTAACAAGAGATTTCAGCTTGGAGGAAGTAATTCCATAACTTTTTTCCCTGAGATTTTGTCCCTTTTCCCCTCAGAATTTCAAAGGGATCTTCAAGTTGATATTGTTCCATGGGCAAAGTTATTAATAATAATAATTAGTAAAATATTAATGGGAAATGAGTGTGTTCCATGTGGTTTGAGCAGCTCTTTAGTTGAGAAGACTTAGGCTCAGCCTATTTCTTGTACTTGTTAAGCCAGGATTAAAACCCCTGGTATTCAGTAAGAATCCAGCTCTCAAACTGGACTTCGGATTTCCCAACCAAATCTAGTGAAGTTCAATTTGGAGATATTTCCATAGAACCACCGAATTCCCTCAGCTGGATCATGGGATTCCAGCCATGGAACTCCACCAGTTGGACCATGGAATTCCAACCATGGAATTCCCCCAGCTGGATCATGAAATTTCAGCCATGGAATTTCCTCAGCTGGATTATGGAATTCCAGCCACGGATGTTTCTCATGTTGGATCATGGAATTCCCCCAGCTGAATCATGGAATTCCAATCATGGAATTCCCTCAAGTTGTATAATGGAATTTCAATCGTGGAACTCCCTTAGCTGGATCATGGAATTCCAACGATGGGCATTTCTCAGTTGGATCATGGAATTCTAGCCGTGGAATTCCTTCAGTTAGATAGTGGGTTTCCACCATGGAATTCCCTCAGTTGGATCATGGATTTCCCCCAGTTGGATCATGGAATTTCCTCAGTTAGATAATGGAATTCCAGTCATGGAATTCCCCCCGTTGGATCATGGAATTCCGACTCCAGGCCCTGCCCAGGACCCCGCAGGAACGGGATTTTTGCCGAATATTGCGTGTTTCCCCAGCCAGCCCTGCAGCTCCGCTCTGAGCCGCCCCGGCGCGTCCCGGCTGCCGGGAATGCCATCCCAAATCCCCGTTTCCCACAGGAGACAGCTGGATCCCGAGTTTGCCGACATGATCAACGTGCAGGATCACTGCCGGGCGGAGGAGGTGGACGAGGACAACGTCTACGGCGTCTTTGTCTCCTACATCGAGATCTACAACAACTACATCTACGACCTGCTGGAGGAGGCTCCCTGCGACTCCATCAAACCCAAGTGAGTTGGGAAAGCCGGGATTGGCCCAGGCTGGGCTTGGGAATTGGTGCCAAGCCGCTGGGAAGGGGTTTGGGATGAGAGCAGTGGGATGAGAGCAGGGTCTCTGTGTCCTATTCCGTCATCCATCGTCTGCTTGGAGCCCACCAGACCCAAGGGAGTTTGGGAATTCCTGTGTTCCCAGTCCTGGGAGGATTTTGTAGGATGTCCACCCTGTTTTTTTGGTTCTAACCTTTGGGAGCTTGGCTCAGAATTCCTGGGAATCACTGTTAAACACACGTGGAAAGGGTTCCAGCCAGGAATGTTTCAGTGCTGGTGGCCAGGGTGCTCCCTTCTTCATTAGGCTGCATGATTGGCAAGCAAATATTTAATTAATTAGCCAATTCTATCCCACTTAAATTCCCCGTCTATTCTAACAGGTGATTTCAACTTGGAACAAGCCATTCCATAGATTTTTGCCCTGGAAACAGTGCAAAACACTGGTTTGGTGCTCCATATTTCCCTATTATTCCACTTGATATCAGTAATTCCCATAAAACCAGAAATTAGGGATATTTTTTAGGGATTTTTTTTTTCCAAAGGTGTGCATTTGTGATGTCTAAAATCAATAGGAGAAGTCTGCAAATTCCACTTGGAATCTATGGATTGAAATTCCAACTCCATTAAAGGAGCTTCTCAGTCCTGTGTTAATTAAGGAGTGGTTGATTAACAAAGGCTAATAACAGCAAAGCAAACTGGGAGCTGTCTCCAGGGTCTTCATTCCAGAAGGTTTTGAATCTCTGGGAATGCTTTTAAACCATTCAGTGTTTAAACACTGAATGGTTTTAAACCATTTTAAAATAAAATTTTTAAACATTAAAATTTCAATTAAAAATTTAAACATTAAAATAAAATGTAAAAAAAAAATTAAAAGGTATTTTTCCCAAAGCCCATCCTAAAAAAAAATATCTGAGATTATTTCTCCCTCTGGAAGCAGCAGCGTGGAAAGACTTGAGGCAGAAATCAAATATTTAATATTTTTCCCCGTTTTTTTGGTAGGTGGAACAATTGCAACACTCCTGTGAGAAATGGAGACTTTGTGTATGTGTCCAATGTCTTTTTCCCGTTATTCCAGTGCTGTTTTCCTTGAGTAGAAGCAGAAAATTCCCTGCCTTTCCTTGCTTTCCTAGGAAACCTAGGGTGCTCTCCTTGCTTCTGTGTGCTTGTAGAAAAGCAATAGCTGCCACCAAAGCAATTAATTGCAATTAAATAGCTGCTAATTAGAGCAGTAGCTGGAGTGTCACTAATCCTGGCTGTGTGTCCATGTCCTGTATTCCCTCTTCCATCTTTTAGATGGATAATTGACCTTTTCCCTCTGAATTTTTGATGTTTTCCCCTCAGAGTTTTGACATTTTCCCCTCAGACTTGTCACATTTTCCCTCCGAATTCTGAATTTTTTCCCTCAGAATTTTTGACCTTTTCCCCTGAATTTTCACCATTTTCCCCTCCGAATTTTTGGACTTCTTCCCCCCAGCATTTTTCCCCTCAGAATTTTTGACCTTTTCCCCTCAGACTTGCGACATTTTCCCTCCAAGTTCTGAATTTTTTCCCTCTGATTTTTGACCTTTTCCTGCTGAAATTTGCCCTCCGAGAGAATCTGCATGGCACGAAGCTGCACAGAGAACTCCCCTCCATTGGGATTTATTTGGATTTTTTCCCTCTTTCCCACTATCCCGAAGACCTCCCCAGTCCAAAATCCTTCGGGAAGACCAGAACCACAACATGTATGTGACGGGCTGCACCGAAGTGGAGGTCAAATCCACAGAGGAAGCTTTTGAAGTCTTTTGGAGAGGTAAAAATCTTGGAATTCAGGGCTGATCCCACATTCCCAGCACCTTAAACATCATCCACGAGCAGGGAAATTCCTCTGGATCAGCCCCATCCTTGGGATGGAGCATCCACAGCTTCTCCAGGCATTTAGGGCCTCCCCATTCCCAGCCCTTCCCAATATCCCACAGCTGGGAAACCCCTCACACCCTGATGCTGGAGGGAGCTGTGGGAAAGCAGCAGGAATTTTGGGAATTTGGGGTGTCTGAGCAGGGCAGAAGAAGCGACGCATCGCCAACACGCAGCTGAACCGGGAATCCAGCCGCTCCCACTCCGTGTTCATCATCAAGCTGGCACAGGCTCCTCTGGATGCTGATGGGGACAATGTCCTCCAGGTCAGTTCTGGGTCATTCCTGGAGGATTTTATGGAATTTACCTTGGAAGCAGCTCCTGTGCCTCAAGTTTGGAGGTGACAGAGTTATTCATAAAAAAGCTGTGCTGCTGTCTGGGCTGTACCAACCCCTGTGAGCTCGTATCCAGCACATTCTTTGGAAGTGGGTTTTGGGATGAGGTGTCCCCCAGCCCAATCTGGAGGGAATCCCCGATTTCTTCTGTGTCCCAGGAAAAGGAGCAGATCACCCTGAGCCAGCTGTCCCTGGTGGATCTGGCGGGAAGTGAGAGAACCAACAGGACCAAAGCTGAGGGAAACAGACTGCGGGAGGCAGGTAGGAACACCCTGGAGCACCCTGCTAATTAACCCTGCTAATTAAACTCCTGCTAATCCTGTCTCCTAGGGAGGAATCCCAGGAATTCTTGAAGTGCTCTGGTAGGATCAGTTAGGATTTGATGACCTCAAATCTTCCCACAAGCTTGCAGCAGCGCTTCTGCCACTTCAGTTAATTAGAGCAATTATTAACAAATATTGTTAATTAGGCAATTTATTCTTCTGACTAATCTGGGAATGTGATCCAAGGGCTGCTCATGGAGTTATTTTGCCTTGTGTTTGCTTTTTTTAGGGAATATCAACCAGTCTTTGATGACATTGAGGACGTGCATCGAGGTTCTGCGGGAAAACCAATTGTACGGAACAAACAAGGTGGGCAGCCCTTCCCTGCTTATCCTTGGATTTCACCACCTGGATAAGGAAAACTCATGGGGTTTTCTCGGCCTTTATTCCCAGATGGTTCCATACAGAGATTCCAAGCTGACTCATCTCTTCAAGAACTATTTTGATGGAGAAGGGAAAGTTCGGATGATTGTGTGTGTGAATCCCAAAGCTGAGGACTACGAGGAAAGCCTGGTAAATTCCCTTTTTCCATTCCTTCCTGCTCTTCTTTTCCTTCTTCCCTGGATTCTTGTACTCCAAGAGACATAAAGAATTATAATTTTTGTTTGAGCCCTTCAATTATAGTTCTGTGGGATAAATCTGTTCCCCAAGTCTTGTTTTTGCTTTCATTTTACACCTGCTCCTTGCTTGGAAGGTGGGAAAGGTTTTCCTTCCTCACAGAATTCCATGGAGCCATATTTGGGTGTTTAATCCTTCCTATTCCAAGAACTCCAGCTGTCTCTGCCCACGCTTTTGTGGCTCCCTGGGGGGAGGTTTCTGGAAGATCCCAATCCGTAGCTGCGATTTCAGCCGGGTAATTCCTCCTTTCCCACTTCAATGACCCAACCCCGCTCCCAATCCCATCTCCTGGTGTTTTTTTCCCCGTTTTCTTGCAGCAAGTGATGCGTTTTGCAGAGATGACCCAGGAGGTGGAGGTGGCCAGGCCCCTGGACCGGCCCCTGTGCGGGCTGACGCCGGGGCGGCGCCTCCGCAACCAGGCGTTCCGCGAGGAGCTGTCCCGCAAGCTGGAGCTCAGGGGCGGCCCCGTGGGAGCAGGTGAGGGCTGGGATGGGGAACTCTGCTCTGGGAATGTCCACCTGGGAAAGGAAAGGGTTCAGGGAAAGTTTGGAGAGCCTTGCAGGGTCTTAAGGGGCTGCAGGAGGGCTGGGGAAGGGATTGGGATAAGGGACGGAGGGGCAGCACACAGGGAATGGCTTCAAATTGGAAATTGGGTGGGATACTGGGGAGGAATTCCAGGCTGGGAAGGTGGGGAGGGGCTGGGCTGGAGTTCCCAGAGTATCTGTGGCTGCCCCTGGATCCCTGGAAGTGTCCAAGGCCAGGTTGGAATGTGGGACAGTGGGAGGTGTCCCTGCCCATGGAACAGGATCACTTTAAGGTCCTTTCCAACCCAAACCATTCCATGATTCCAGCAGAGTTTTCTGTTAGGAATTCAAGGCTGGGAATTAAATTTTAAACCAATTCTACTGAGCCTTAACTGTGCCAGAGGAACCTCAGTGCCCTAGGAGCTCTGTGTCCCTCGGCAGTGTCCCTGTGGAGGTTTCCAAGGAATTCCATGGGACTGGGATGAATCCATGGTCCCAGTATTGTAGCTCCTGACAGGAAATTGTGCCAAGGAAATTGAGGGATGTTCCCCAATGTTCAGGACCTGCTTTTAGTAAAACAAGGAATCAAAGATGTCACATTTAATCCTTTCCCATCCCTCACCTCTTTGGAAACCCATAGCTCCCATCAATCACTCCCAGTTTTCCATGATCCTGCCCTTTGTCCATTGGAATTTTCCCATCCTGCTGACAGATTTTCCATCCTGCAGGACCAGAGGAGCCATCTGCTGCTGAGCTCTTCTTCCAGAGCTTCCCTCCCCTGCCTTCCTGTGAGCTCTTGGACATCAACGATGACCAAACACTCCCAAAACTGATCGAGGCCCTGGAGCAGCGCCACAAAATGAGGCAGATGCTGACAGAGGAATTTGCCAAAAGTGGTAGGAATTTGCCCCAAATTGGAACATCAGGGCAAAACTCAGATTTGGTGCCCTTATTATTCCTCAAAGGATTCCCCTTGTCTCAATTTTCTTGTTTAGATTGATTGTTTCAACCTTTTTTTGAGGAATTTTAGGCTTTAAAATTTGTTGGGAAAAACAGAGGTTTGGATGTTCTGGGGATAAGAGAGAAGATTAAAGGTAAAATAGAAAATATCTGAATTCTCTTCCAGTTCTTGCCTTTAAAACAATGCTGCAAGAATTTGACTCCAGTGTTGCATCCAAGGAAAATTATGTCCAAGGAAAACTGGCTGAGAAGGAGAAAACCATAACAGGGCAGAAGACGGAGCTGGAACGGCTGGAGAAGAAGATTAAAACCTTGGAGTACAAGGTCAGTTGGGTCGTTTTGGAGCACAAACCCTTTTTTTTTTTTTTAATGGATTATTGGCAAATTCCTTGCCATCAGGAATAAATATTTTGGGGGGAACTTCTGCTGAAAATCTGTTGGCTTTTTTATGAGGTGGGGCTTTTAAAGCAGCAAAATCAGCGATTTAGAAGTGAAGATTGAGATCTCCCAGGAAATACAAGCAGGAATTCCTGGATTGGAAGGTAGCGTTCCCACCCAAATCCTTCCTCTCTTGCTGCAGATTGAGATTTTGGAGAAGACAGCCACGATTTACGAGGAGGACAAGAGGAACCTGCAGCAGGAGCTGGAGAGCAAGAGCCAGAAGCTGCAGCGGCAGGCGTCGGACAAGAGGAGGCTGGAGGCCAGGCTGCAGGGAATGGTGGCTGAGACCTCCCTCAAGTGGGAGAAGGAATGTGTGAGTGCAGGAATGGGGGAAAAGCGGGATCAAGGCATCGGGGATTTGGGGATTTGGGGTGTGGGATCTTAAGGAGCGGATTTGTTGGTGTTTGTGGGAATTCTGGGTTGGAAATGGGATGGAGAGGAAGAGGGGAGGGAGAGGAATTGAGGGGAATGGAATGGAAAGGAGTTGAGGGGAATGGAATGGAAAGGAAAGGAATTGAAGGGAATGGAAAGAAGGAGGGCAGTGGGGTCAGGCTCTGCTCCCAGGGAACAAGGACAGGAGGAGACAGAAAGCAGCCTCGGGCTGTGCCAGGGCAGGCTCAGGTTGGATACTGGGAAAATTCCCTCATGGAATGGGTTATAAACGTTGGAACTACCCGGGGAGGTTTGGAATCCCCATCCCTGCAGGTACCCAAGGAACTCCTGCATGTGGCACTCAGGGCTCCAGGCTGGGTTCAGTCCCAGCTTGGCCCTGCTGATCCTGGTGGGTTTTCCAACCTCAGCAATTAATTCCATGTTTTCCACTGCTGTCCCTGTTCCTGTAGGAGCGACGCGTGGCAGCCAAGCAGCTGGAGATGCAGAACAAGCTGTGGGTGAAGGACGAGAAGCTGAAGCAGCTCAAGGCCATCGTCACCGAGCCCAGAGCCGAGAGGCCGGAGAGGCCATCCCGGGAAAGGGAGCGGGAAAAGCCTCTCCCGAGATCCGTGTCTCCCTCCCCTGCTCCCGTGAGTCACTCCCAAACCTGCTGCGTTTAGGAAACAGCGTTTTTGGGGTTAAGTGCAGGGATTTTAGTCATTAGTAGCCCCCAAGCGCAGAGTTGGAGCAGCTTGCTTTGAGTTCCTTGTCTGCTGTTTGCTCTTCGTCCATTCTCCCACCTCCTGATATCCTTAGGAGCGGGAAATCCCTGGGTTTTTCTGTCCTTTTTTGCTTGGAGTCTCCTTTGTCTCACTGACCTCTCCCTTCTCCCCAGAGCTAAGGCTTGAGCCCAGAGTTGGAGCAGTTTGAATTCCTTTTCTTCTGTTTGTTCTTCATCCATTCTCCCACCTCCTGATGTCCATAGGAATGGGAAATCCCTGGGTCTGTCCCTCCCTGTGTCTCACTGGTGTTTCCCTGCTTCCAGAGCTGTGGTGTCCCTGCTGAAGTTTGATCCCCGAGTTGGAGCACCTTTTAAGTTCCTCGTCTTGTCTCTGTTCATTGTTAATCCATTCTCCCACCTCCTGATATCCACAGGAACAGGAAATCCCTGGACCTGTCTGTCCCTGCATGGTGTCCCTGTTTGACTGCACGACACCTCCTGCGTGTCACTGATGTTTCCCCTCTCTCCAGAGCTGTGATGTCCCTGCTGAAGTTTGAGCCCTGAGTTGGAGCAGCTCAAATTCCCTGTGTCCTGTGTGCTCTTCATCCATTCTCCCACCTCCTGATCTCCACAGGAACGGGAAATGCCTGGATTTGTCTGCCTGTCCCTGTTTGCATGGAGCCTGCTGTGTCTCACTGCTCTCTCCCTTCTCCCCAGAGCTGTGGTGACCCCGCTGAGTTTGGGGACAGCCGGGGGGCCCCGCGGGGGCCCAGGCGCTCCAACTCTTGCAGCAGCATCTCTGTGGCCTCCTGTGTGCTGGAGTGGGAGCAGAGGGGCCCTTCCTGCGAGCCAGCCAGCATTCCCAAGCCCAGGAATAAAGCTGGAGCAGAGCCAGGCTCGGCCTGGCCCAGCCCTGCCAGGAGGAGAGGGATGTGCTGGAGCCGAGCGCTGGAGGTGCCCAGGGATAGAGAGGAGCTAGAGCAGGAAGAGGATCCGTGCTGCAGGGTTAGTCCTGGCCTAGTGGGGCTCAGCCTGGCTTAAAGGTTCTCTGAGCCTGAGCCTGGCTCTGTCCTCGAGCCTAACGTAGAGTAGAGCTGTCCCTAATGTGTCCTGCTGGTCCCAGACTGAGCCTGGCTGCTCTCGCTGCCCTCTGGGTGTTTGGAGCTTCCTTGGAAGTTGAGAATTCCCACTTTTAGGGAGCTCTGAGGTGGCCACACTCTGCTCTAGCCATGGGTGTCCTCATGTTTTTCCCTGGTGTTTCCCTTTTCCCTGGTGTTTCCCTTTTCCTGGCATTTCCCTTTTCCTTTCTGTCTCCCTCATGTCTCCTCCAATCCCTCCTGCAATTTCCCAGCTTCCAAGGTGCTTCTGGGAGCTTTTCCTGCCTGGAAACATGCCTTGGATAAACCTTTTGTGTGCCTCAGCTTTAATTCCCTAATTCCCATTAAACTGGGAGCTCTGATTCCATGAATTATTTGGCTCCTTGAGGATTCAGTCCAAGAGCACTTTAGAAAAATAGAGGATCACAATCCCTTCCTTTGTCCTCTCCTTCCTAGGTGTGGAATGCAACAGATTGGACCAAAATTCCCAAGAAATAGGACTTGACATGGAATATTCCATTCATAATTTGATCCCCCAAAACCAGGAGATGGCCTGGAATATTCCATGGATAATTTGATGCCAAGCTCATGGTGGTGCCTTCAGGATTCAATCCAAGAGCACTTTAGGAAAGCAGAGCAGGACAATCCCTTGGGCTGGTGCTGTGAATTTGGAAATTTGGGAGGAGCTTTCCCAAACTTGAGGAGACTCAAAGGAATGTGACAGATTGGACAATGCTGGGATAAAATTTCCATTAAATAGGAATTGGCCTGGAATATCCCATGGATGACTTGATGCCCAAAAAATAGGAATTGGCCGGGAATGTTCCACTGATAATTCGATGCCAAGCTCTTGGTGGTGCCCTCAGGATCCAACCCAAGGACCAAACCTTTGCCTTTCCCACACCCACCCTATCCAATCTCATCCATTCCATGTGCCCATTCATTCCCAGTTCCCATTCCCTGTTCTCATTCCCACTCTCCATCATTCCCAGAGTGCTCCTGCAGTGCTGGGGAGCGCTGGGTGGATCACTGACCCCCATCCCTGCCATTCCCAGTGCCCATTCCCCGTTCTCATTCCCACTCTCCATCATTCCCAGAGCGCTCCGGCGGCGCCGCTGCGGGCGCGGCGTTCCCGCAGTGCCGGGGAGCTCTGGGTGGATCCCAGTACCCATTCCCTGTTCTCATTCCCCGTTCCCATTCCCTATGCCCATTCCCCGTTCTCATTCCCACTCTCCATCGTTCCCAGAGCGCTCCGGTGGCGCCGCTGCGGGCGCGGCGTTCCCGCAGTGCCGGGGAGCGCTGGGTGGATCACCGGCCGCCGTCCCACGTGCCCACGGAGACGCTGCTGCAGCCGCGCGTGCCCAGGGCCATCACCGTGGACGCCCCCAGCGAGCGCGCCCTGGCCCGCTGCGACCGCTACCTGCTGACCCACCAGGAGCTCGCCTCCGACGGGGAGATCCAGACCAAGCTCATCAAGGTGACCTCGGGAGTCTTGGGAATGTCGGGAATGTTGCGTTGGAATTGTCGAAATTTTGTTAAAATTACCCAAGGAATTCCTGCATGTGGCACTGGGTGCTCCAGGCTGTGGGCAAGGTTGAGATCCAGACAGAGCTCATCAAAGTGACCTTTGGAATCTTGGCAATGTTGTTGGAATTGATGAAATTTCGTTAAAATTACCCAAGGAATTTCTGGATGTGGCGCTGTGGGCAAGGCTGAGATCCAGACTGAGCTCATCCAAGTGACCTTGGGAATGTTGCATTGGAATCACTGAGATTTCATTAAAATGACCCAAGGAATTCCTGGATGTGGCACTCGGTGCTCCGGGCTGGGGGCAAGGTTGAGATCCAGACTGAGCTCATTAAAGTGACCTTGGGAATTGTGGGAATCTTGGGAATGTTGCTTTGGAATCATTCAAATTTAGTTCGGCATTTTCACAGTTGGGTTCCATGATTTGTGGGATCCCATGATTTGTGGATCCTATGGTCCATGGATCCCATGATTTGTGGGATTCCATCATTTGTGAATCCTGTGATTTATGGGATTCCATTATTTGTATGGATTCCATCCATGGGTTGTGGATCCCATGATTTTGGAATCCCTTGATCCGTGGATCCCATGATTCCTGCATTTTCCTGTGGAAAAAGGCATCAATCCATTGGCAATGAAATGTGAGGAGCTTATTTGTGTCCGTCCGTATCTCTTTGGGCTGGAATTCTGGGATGAATCCCAGTGTTGTTCCTGTCCTAATCCTGCTTTTCCTTGTCCTTTTCCCATTCCAGGGGGACGTGTTCAAGACCAGGGGTGGTGGCCAGGCCGTGCAGTTCACGGACATTGAGACCCTCAAGCAGGAATCTCCCACCGGGTGAGTCCAGCCTCTGGAATCCTGGAATTCCCAAAATTCCAGTTGTGGAACCTTGAATTTGAGCTTCTGGAGTCCTGGAATTCCCAAGGTTCCAATGATGGGACCTTTAATTTGGGCTTCTGGATTTGTGGAATTCCGGGTGCATGCATGGAACCTCTACCAGGCCGGATGATCCAATGGGAAAATCCAACTTGAAATCCCATAAACTTGGAGAAGTTTATGGTTCCTGGAGCTGCTGGATCCAAGATTTATTAAGGAAGAATAAAGATGTTTTCCAGTGTTGGAATGTGGCAAATTCCGTGAGGTTTGTGCTGTAATTCCAAAATTCCCATTCCAGGCGGAAGCGCCGCTCGTCACCTCCCGATCCCGACCCTGCCGGGGACGCCGCGGACTCGGAATGGACGGATGTGGAAACCAGGGTGAGCTGGGAATGTCACCCTGGGAATGTCACCCTGGGAATGTCACCCTGGGTCCTGGAATTGTGGCCTGGGTTGGGTTGGGGGGGAGGTTCAGCTCATCCCAATCCAGCCATTTCATGGGCACTTCCCGCTATCCTGGGCTGCTCCGTCCAGCCTGGCCTTGGACATTCCAGGGCTGGGGATCCAAATCCCTCTGGATGAGGATTTGGGAATGGTGGGAAGCAGCGGATCCTGACTTTGGTGTGTTCCCAGTGTTCCGTGGCCGTGGAGATGAGGGCGGGATCGGCGCTGGGACCGGGATTCCAGCACCACGCCCAGCCCAAGTGAGTGCTCCTGGAATCCTTTCCCGACAACTTCCAAACTTCAGGAATGCTTTCCCCCTGGTTTTGCTGCCCTTCCCATGTCAGGTTTGCATTCCCACGTGGAATATCAGGGATGGCAGTTGGAATGCCCTGGATTCTCTCTCCTGCCCCTTTAACCTCTTGCTCACGTTATCCATTGAAAAATTCCAATTTCTCGGGATTGGGAAATTCCAGTTTCTCAGGACTCCAATTCCCTGTGGGAGGAGGCAATTGCAGTGGATTTCCTACTAAAATTCCAACTGCAAAATACCACTAAGGAAGCCTGGAGAATTCCCTCTTTCCCAAATTATTCATAAGGCATCCCTGGTAATTCCAGCTCTATACTCAGCCCAAGGAAGTGCTCCTGGAATTCTTTCCTGACCGCTTCCAAAATTCAGGAATGTTTTCCCCCCAACCTTGCTGCCCTTCCCACTTTGGGTTTTCATTCCTGGCTGGAATAGGGTTGGCAATAGCAGCAGGAATGCCCTAGATTCCCTCTCCTGCCCCTCTAACCTCTTGCTCATGTTATCCACTGGGAAATTCCAATTCCCCATGGGAAGAGGGAATTGAGGAATTGGAATCCAACTTTGTGTGCTGCTCCTGCTGCCTAAAAATCCAAGGAAAACGCTGGATTTTTCGGAGTTTCCTTGGATTAAATGTTGGATTTTCTAGGAGGTGGGTGGTAGTGCAAAAACCTGGGAATGAGGAGTTGGCTGCTCCCAAAATTCCTCTGGATGAATCCTGAAAGTTCTCTGTGGCTCTTTCCCATTGCAGGCGCAGGAAGCCCTGAACTTTTCCTGCTGGAATCCCGGATTTTCCCAGCCTGAGGAATGCTCTGCTGCCACTGCTCCTCAGGAACTGCTTTGTGCTCATTCCCAGAGGTTTTTAGGGAAGCTGGGAAATGGCTCCATTGGTCATCCCAAAGAACTTCTGGATGGATCTGTCCTTTTCCATAGATTTAGGGAAATCCTCAAGGTCCCTCTGGAATTTCGAACGGAGCTGGATCCTTACAGACAGTGCCAGCAGGCTTTTCCTTGGGAGATTTTTCCAGTGTTTTCCCAGTTTTTAAATCCCAAATCCATTTTTTCTGGTCATTCCCACTCTTTTGGGAGACCCAACCGCTGCTATTCCGAGCTGCAGTCCAGCACTTTAAGGGTGTTTTTGGCCGTTCCCGATTTTACTGGAAGCAGGAAAACCTTGGGAATTCAGATTTCTTCTGGCAAGAATTAATTTGGAGTATTTAAGTGTGTCACTGAGCTGTCAGAACATTCCAGAGCCACCCAAAATCCTGGGAGCAGTGGGAAATCACATCCCAGCTGCTTTGGGGTTGTGAGGGAATTCTGGAATGTTTTCCATGTGGGAATGGGGGGAAGAGGGGATTTTTTCACAGATAGGGTGAGAATTAGCTCTCTTTATGTTCCCTGCTAGTTGTTTAATAAATCCTTTTATTCCCAACCCTCTTCCTGGTTTTTAGGGAATTCCAAGGGGAGCAGCTTCCCTGGCTTTGCAGAAAGCTGGGATCAGAGGCTGCGGGATCTCTGGAATTTCTCCAGCAGCTCCAGGTCCTTCCCCTGCTGGGACTCCAGAGCTCAGGGGGGGACAAAGGGAGAGCTTTTCCAGCCCTTCAGGAATTCCATGAGCTCCAGAGGCAGCTCCCGGCTGGATCCGTGGGAAGCAGCTCTCCCGGAGCGCCGCTAGATGGGGCAGGAAAACCACGGGAATGGCGCCGCTTCCCGAGCCTGGCCCTGCCCTGGGACAGGGAATGGCTCCTGGGAAAATCCCAGCCTGGGCAGCTTCCCTGCTCCCAAACCTCTTCCTGCCCCCTGGAAGAACTGGGATTGGGGTTGGGATTGGGAGAATGGGATTTGGAATGGGATAGGGATAACCACTGGGAATGGTAGAAAACTGGGGGATTGGGAATGGGGTAGGGATAACCACTGAGAAATGATGGAAAACTCTGGGAAAGGCTCTTATTTGTGGGATTTAATGAGTTCATTAATCGTTAATAAGGAGCCATCTCTTGGATTTGGATTCCATTATCTTGGTGACAAGTTAAATCCCATTGGGAATATTTCTGTGGAAAACTGGGATACACCAGGAACTGATGCTCATGGAGACAGTTTGGATACTGGAAAGAGCTGAAAACACTTGGAATTCCGAATCCACTCCTTTGGATTTGAGAATTTTATTTTTGTAATTTTATTTTACCTTTATTTTTATTCAATTTAATTTTCTTTTATTTTTACTTTTTTCTTCTTATTTTAATTATTTTAATTTTAATTTTGATTTAGTCTATTTTTATTTTTATTTTCCTTTTATTTTTATTCCTTTTTTATTAATTTTAATTTTTAATTTTAAATTTTTTCTTCTTATTTTAATTTTAATTCTGATTTTATTTCTAATTTTATTTTTATTTATTTCATTTTCCTCCAAAGCCCCAGCAGATGAGGTAAGTTGGAGGGGAAACGTTGGATTTGCAGCTCCAAGATCTCCAGGTTTTCCCAGGCAGATCCTGTCCCAATCCCTTTAATTTCAGGGGAAATATCCCTTTATCCCAACCACCTTTATCAGGACAAAGTGGGCAGCAAGATCCAAGCGTTTATCCCAAAAATCCATCTCCGGAGCACTGGAATTGCAATGAGCGCTTTTTCCATGAGGTGTCAGTGTGGGATCGGGATTCCCATCCCTGTTTTCCAGCAAACCATGGAAAAACCTCCTTGGATCAGCAGCAAATCCCAGCTCGTTCCCAGCTCCTGGCATTCCATGGATGGAGCGAGGGTTTGATCCCATTCCATGGGAAGGGATCATTCCGGAGTCAGTCATGCTCTGGCTCTTCCCACCTTCGTGTCCCCAAATTCCATCCAGCCACATCCCAACATTCCAGCTGGGAATGCTCTTTCCCTCATCCTGGAAAAAACAAGCAGGGAAAAGGAGTTCCCTGGAAAGGGGCCTGGGACAAGGGATGGAGGGACAGGACACAGGGAAAGGAAAAGGGGATTTAGATGGGATACTGAGAAGGGATGGTCCCCTGGGAGGGGCTGGGATGGAATTCCAAGAGAAGCTGTGGCTGCCTCTGGATCCCTGGAGTATTCCAGGCCAGGTTGGATGGGGATTGGAGCAGCCTGGGATAGTGAGAGGTTCCCTGCCCATGGAATGGGATGGGATTTAATCCCTTCCCACCCACAGCATTCCATGACATTCCCATCCATGGATTTGTCCCCAATGTCCTTAAAATGCCTTTGAGTGTCCCAGAGCCATTGGGAATGATTTTCACATTCCAGCCAAGTTGTCTTTGGCTGGAATTCCACTCTTTTCCTAAAATCCCATCCCGAGCCTTCATTCCCAGTAGGATTTCTTTACATGAATCCTGAATTCCCGAATTGGGAATCCTGAGCCTTCACTTCCAGTAGGATTTCTCCTTGGTGCCAATAAATGTCCCCATCCCGGCTTTTCCTACATTCCCTGAACTCTTGGGAAGCAGCAGATTGTTCCAGGGAGTCGGGAGCTGGGAATGCCAGCCGGGGCCATCCCGGTGTGAATTCCCAGAAATAATCCTAATGGGAAGTGACGCTGTCAGCTCCCATCCGTCAGCCCCGGCAGAGCCAATTGGCTCCGTCCCTTGGAATTATGGAAAGGACGGAGAAAATGGGAATATCCTCAGCTGTTGGGAGCTGCCAAGCGGCTGCTCCATGGGAACGGAGCACTGGGATGCGACTGGAGTCGGGAAACTCCTGGTGCCACTGGCAGCTCTGAGGGCTCACTGGAATCCTAAATTTTCCACCTGGGATTCCTCCCTGCTCCTTGTTTTCCCAGCCGCTTCCATTGGGTTTGCCAGGCTTTTGCACTCTGGAATACCAATTTTAACTCTTGGCTCCTGAGTTTTGCTCCTAGGTTTTGTTCCTAAATCTTGAACTTGGAATTTTTCCTCCCAAATCTGAGCTCCAAATTTTTCCTCACAGAGCTTGGGCTCCTAATTTTTATTCCTAAACTTTTGGCTCCTATATTTTGTTCCTAGATCCAGAATCCTGATCTTCTCTCCTAAACCCCATGCTCCTAGTTTTTCTCCCTAATCCTTGAATTTTCTCATTTTCCTTCCGAAATCTGGGATCCCGATTTTGTTCTCAAATCCTTGGCTCCTGATTTTTGCTCCTAAACCTTCGATCCCATCCAATTCCACCCCTGCCATGGGCAGGGACGTCTTCCCCTATCCCAGGTTGTTTCAATTCCCATCCAGCCTGATTTTGGACACTTCCAAGGATTCATCCACAGCTTCTCTGGGAGGCCTGTCCTGATTTTTCCTAGGTTTCCCTCCAATGGATATTCTGGATGAGGATCCTGCTGCTTGGCCATGACCCTTGAGCATCCCCATCCCTCTCCAGCTCTGCTTCCTTGGGATTGATTAATCCATGGAATATTTCATGGATTGCTCATCCCTGCCCTAGCAGTGTTTTCCTAACCCTTCCCATTCATCCAGCTGTGTTTTTTCCATGCTGGAGAAAAACTCCCCTTCCTCTGTGCTCCAACAGACAGAGCAGCTTATCTGGAAAAGCAGGAAAATTTTCCCTAATCCCTCTTGAATCCTGGGATATCAGCAGGTAACAGGTTCAATATGGCACGAGGGGGTCACGGGGGGAGCAATAAACAAAGCCTGGCTTGAATTACTTCTGGGAAATTCCTTGATCCACACCTGATTAAAACCTCATCCCGTGGAACCAGACGGTTCCCTTGGATCTGGATCCAGATTAGATGGAGCTGGAGCCCTGCCCACCCCACACAGCTCGTAAATTCCTTGGGATGTGCCGCAGCTTCGGAGATTTTTCCCTCCTCTGCTCCCTCTGGTCATCCCATTTGGATCCCAAGACTTACCTGGGATGCACCTGGGAATGTTTTCAGGTGGAATTGGGGGGGAAAACCCCCTCTGATCATTCCTGGATGGAAACAAACCAACTCTGGGACCTTGGTTTTCCAACCGGCTCCTTTGGCAGCGTGTCCAAGAGGGAAAAATATCCCTGCTTTTCAAGTGGAGCCAGGGCCAATGTAAATATTTATGGAATATTTTATTACAATCCCAATTTACTCCTTGATTGGAAACATTTCCTAATAACCCTCTGGAAAATCCAATTAAAGTGCAATTTAAGGGTTTTGCTTTGGGGTTTTTTTGGAATTGCTGTTTTGCCAGGAATGCTGATCCACAGGTCGGGTGGAGAGCTTGGAATGTCAGCGGGGTTGGATGTCCATGGAAGAGCCTGGATTCAAAAATATGGGGAGAATAGCTGCTTCCTTGGGAAATCCTGGTTTTCCTTGGGAATGGGGCAGCTCAGCCTTTCCAGGTACAAATTCCTGCTGCTTTTTGTCCCTCTTTTACCTTGGTTTGGGGCACATCCCAAGAATCCCATTGGCTCCGGTGGGATCAGGGACGTGGAAGGCCTTGGAAACCTCTTCCGTGTGAGTGTAGGAGGCTTTGGGGTCTTTATCCTGATGGGAATCCTAAAGGATAACGATTCCAAAATGATCCTTGGGGTTTGGGGTGCCCAGCCAGGGCACGGAGCCGCTGGTCCAGGAAGTGTGGGATTTATACTTGGAATTGTCCAGTTCCTGACCGAATTCCCAACTTTATTTAGCCAGCCCAGAACTTGTTCCCTGGTGTCTCCCATGGCAGCAGTTCCTATCCAACCTTCCTCTGCTTTTCCCCTTTTCCCTCTGAATCCCACATTCCGGGTTTTCCCATCCCCACAAAAGGATGTTCCACCCAGCGAGGATGCCAGGAATGTTTAGGAAGTTTTATTTTTATTGTGCAGGACAAAAAATTCCTCCTCGGGAATTCCTTGGAGACCCAAGACTTCAAGCAGGAGGCACAGGCTCCTTTTAAATTGAAAATCAGGGAATGCTGGAATTCTAAAGAGCTGGGAAAGGCAATTATCTCCCTGGAAAACATTGGATTCATTAGGATGAACATAAAGGCAAACTTTGGGAAGATAATTGGATCTTTTAAATCTCCATGTTCTTGATCCCTGCTCGTCTCATAAATATGGATTTTTATATAATCCCTAAAAAAAAACCAGGCTCCCGTTAAGGAGCACAAAAAGTGCGATAAATGCTGGAATTTTTGACATGGAATCAAACGAAAAAGGAACAAAAGGGAAGAGATTTGAGTCTAAAGGCTCCTCCTGGTGCTGGAGGGGATGAATCCATCCAGGAGCTGGGTGAGCATTGGGAATCATCTGGGTGCTGAGGTCAGGGATTCACATCCCCATTCCCATCCCATCCCGTCCGAGTCCTGTGC